AGGATAGGTAACTTTGACTGATAATGTTCTTCGTAATGGTGACAGACGATGTCGATTCCCTCTTCCTGGGAAATGCTAGTGCAGAGAGAACACACGTTTAGCGTAGCTTAAATTGCTTCATCTGGAAGAGGCGTGTTTTCAATGATATCACTTTTGAGTGCAGTGTCCTCGACGTAAGACTCTTGTTGTTGCGCGATTGGCCTGGTAAAAGCGAGTCCACAAAACTAGAAATGCGTTCTTTGGAACCACCGCTACCAGAGACGATTGGTCTGCCGGCAGGAATAGTTTTATGTATTTTGGTCAGAGTGTAAAACGCTGGTATTCTTGGTGATTTTGGCCAAAACTGAGCCACTTGTAAGTCATTTGAGCAATGTGCTCGTTTGTGAACAGAGCGTTTATAGTTGATATCACTTTTGTGGCTGTTTTGGATACAATCGGTTAACGTTCATCTTAGATTTCCAAAACCGGTCCTGCTATTAAAGTTTATTTAAACAGTTCTGATCAAAACTCTGCGGCTACCATTCAGGGGCACCCAACGAGAATATAGTTCAAAACCACTTAAACATAGCATTGTTAAACGAATTGTAGTATTTAAACGGTAGATATGGGCATATTTTTCTCCCCTAAAAATTTTTCATCTGTTCGGATTTCCTAGCTGAAAGTCTAGTGATCCGAAAATTCCGAAAATTATAGGGATCAAAACTTACCTTTTTGAAAATTTCAGCCAGAAAAAAGGCTCCCGAAAATTCTAGTTGACCTTTTAAGGGTAAAAATCCGTTAAAAATGGGCAATTATAGTAGTTTTTATATGTTCGAAAATCCTAGGAGAGGCAGAGAAGCAAAAAATTTTACAACAAATGTTCCGAAAATTCTAGATCTCAAATCGTCTTCCGAACAGATATTTTCCGAAAATTGTCGTTGGGTACCCCTGACCATTGATCGTTAAAGCCTAAATCCCTTCACTTTAACAACAACAAAGGAGTTATACACGGTTAGCGTCGAGTGACAAAAGTTAGTTTACGCAACAGGACGACAGAAAGAAGAGGACGGCAAAAGGCTTGTGTGTGACAAACGTGACAGGGCTATAAATCGCCTGTTTTTGTCATGATCTTCACTTCACATTAACGTTTTTTGGTCTTTTGCAGAAAGACCTGTTTAAAGGCCAAGGAAGGTGATGTTTGGCGGAAAGTTTTTTTCAAACAAAATTATTGCCACTCTTATCACACAAGGTTTGACGTCTTCTTTCCTCTCCCGTCCTGTTAGGTAAGTTCACTAATTATCATTACACTAAGACATAGTACGTAGTTCGCATTTTATACCTGGTCCGTGGTTTACATATACCCAGTTCGCTGTCCGTGGTCCGCAGTCCGCAGTCCGCAGTACGCAGTCGGCGGTCTGTCTTTTATACTGCCCGATCTGAAACGCTTTACCCTGCGTAGAGTAATGCTGCAAGGTTATCAGTAAAAAAACATTCACCTTAATTCTTTGAAAACGTGTCGGCCATGATACAGGCAGGCTTTGGCTTCCTGTTGGCGTAACATTTCCGCTAGAGAAAGCTTGACGAAGACACACAACACGTAACACTCCTTCACTGCAAGACGACCGCCATCTTGTTTGCGGTCGCGCCACTTCCGCTTTTACCCTCCCCTCCCGTCACAGGTATTTTTAGTCGGTTGGCAATTTTTGTTTTTCATAATTAGCAAAATCAAAAAACGATTTTCATTTTGGATTTTACCAGCATTAATTCTGTTTCCCACAGTTTATTTACACATGAAATTGCTTTGTCAAGTTTGAATTTTTAATAAGCTTGAATTTAGGGAATAGGAAACTGAAAGTACAATTTTAACTTCGGTACCAAGCAAAAATCTCAAAAGTGAAGATTATCGTTTAGTTTTCCTTTTCCTTAAAAACAAGAAATAAAAACCACCAACTGACCATTTTCAATTTTCATATTTTTGATTTTCAAAACATTGAAAATTGTTTTTCAATTTTGTTTCTTAGAAACAAAAATTGACGACTGAGATTGTAAATTTGTGATTTTCAATTCTTGAGGAATCAAACATTGGAAGTCACGATTGTGAATTTTTGATTTTCAATTTTCAATTTGAAATCAAACTCAAATGGACGAAAACCACACGGACCCAGCCCGTCCTACGGAACCGACCTATCGCGGATTCTGAGCCGGTAAGAGTGGCATTCGTTTCAAGTAACGCATGCGCACTAACATAGTCGGCTACACTAAGTGGCAACGAAAAGGGAAGTCAATTATCATTTTACCGTTTTTGGTGTTTGGTCGTTAATAAAACGAAACACGTTAAAATGGAAGTCGGCTTACGTTTTCCCGTTTTTTGTGTCTGTTCTTTGAAAAACCAAGAAACGATAAAAGGGAAGTCGATTTTTGTTTTCCCGTTTTATGTGTTTGTCTGTAGATAAAAAGAAAAAGATAAAACGGAAGTCGATTTTTGTTTTTCGGTTTTTGTGTTTTCTCGTACATAAAAGGAAAAACGATAAAACGGAAGTCATTTGTCGTTTTTCCGTTTTTTGTGTTTGTTCGTACAAAAAACGAAAAAAGATAAAACGGAAGTCGATTTTTGTTTTTCGGTTTTTTTGTTTTCTTGTACATAAAAGGAAAAACGATAAAACGGAAGTCATTTTTCGTTTTTCCTTTTTTTGTGTTTGTTTGTACATAAATGGAAAAACGATAAAACGGAAGCCGAATTTCGTTTTTCGTTTTTTGTGTTTCTTCTTTCGAAAAAACAAAAAACGATAAAACGGAAGTCAAATTTTGTTTATCTTTTTTTGGAAAAAGATAGCATAAAACAGTAAAAAGAAGATATTGAGTAATTTTTGTTATGGAGAGATAAGATTTATGGACTCAAGAAAAGAAACAAGGACTTCTGGAATTTTGGCAATTTTTGGAGATTTAACCATTATTTTTAAGTGCAAAAATTATTTGGCGCCGTCATATTATAAAATTTCAATAAAAAGGTGCTTTTAAAGCAAAAGCAATTTAGACACTTGTAACATTATAAACGAATTAATCGAAAAAGATGTCAATTTCATATCTTCCTGTTTGCTCAACATGGAGCAGAAAATTTAAAAAAAGGGTTGGCCGAACCGTGCACGGACCTGAAACGAGCAATAATTGCTTTGGGATAGGACGGAGCTCTTAGACTAGAATTATTAGTGGAGATTCGGTGAACTCGCTCAAAGCGGATATCGTTGACTTTATCCGCCGGAATTTTCAAATTAGCGACGAAGACACTTCTTACCAGCTCTTCAGTATTTTCATCCTCTTCTTCTCCTACATTGAAAATTCTTACATTCTCACGTCTTGTATAGGCTTCCAACTTGATGTTTCTGCGTCTTAGCGCTCCAATGTCCTCGAACAAGAAGTCAATGTCTTCATTGTTTTCTTTTACTTGTGCAGAAGTTTCTTTCTGGCTTTCTTGTAGACTTTGAATTTCTTCCTCGGCAGATTGCAAAGATTGTTTTAAATTCTTTACTTCATCTCTCAGCTTGCGAATTTCATCTTTTAGTAGTGCAATTTCACCACATGCTGTTAAAACTTGATCTAGTTTAGTGTTCATTTCCTCGAGGCGTGCTGACATTACTCCACCGACGCCCACATGTTCATCATCTTCATCCGTTTGCGAGCCATTTTCTCTCAGATTCTCGGATTCTTGTCCGCTTTGTCCTTCCCCATTTCTGGTTATATCTATTTGTAGGTTTCCATGACAGGTACGTTACTAAAGCGTTTAGAACAGCATATTTGGTGGAGCTCACAAAAACACGTCCTACCTCCACGAGGTGCACTGCGCAAGTCCTTTAATAATCTTTTTTACAGAATGATTTTAAATACGAAAAGGATTCACAACTCCTGTTGAGGAAATTTCCCCGCAAGAGCTAAACAAATGCCTTCAAAAGTTTTATTTGTTGGCAAGAAAAAGCGACGACCGAGGCCGTTCGGTCATTGCGCGCCAAAATTGTAATCGTTGCAGGCAAGAGTAAATGAGTTAAAAATCATCATTTTTGTGCTCAATTATTTCACTGTTCTAGTATATACTAAAACAATTATTCATCTCAGTGTCGGTGGCTAGTGGTGGATTTTACCTCGCAACTATCGCGGCCTGGGTAAATATCCACCACCACTAGCCACAACCACTTCGGTGAATAATTGTTATATATTAGTTGTGAAACGCATAATAAGATCTAATAGAAATGAGCTACAAATGTAAAGCGTTTGGTTTGTTGAATGCCATGAATTAAAGAGAGTTTGTAATGACAAAATACAAAAATCCAGTGCCGGATCCAGACCTTGAGATAAGGCTGCGGGGGTGGGGCGGCGTTCATCCAGACCCTTAGAAAAGTGGGGAGCCCGGTCTCCCAAAAGATTTATTTTGGCCCTTCGGGCCTCATTTTGGTCTATTAATAAAGAGGGGGGTCCTCCCCTGGACCCGCCACTGAAATTGTATGTAGCTTTGGCAAAGTTGTTTAGAAAAATATGTGTATGAATACAAACAAAGTTTATACCCTCGGAAGATAAGGTAAGCGCCTAAGCTAAGTTGCATAGGAAATATATTAATGGCTAAACGCGTCTTTAAACCTCACGCCGGGGCCTGGTTGCAAGCTAAAACTTGCGTGTAACACTAAGCTCTGCGAAACAAGTTCCGGCTCGTGTTGCACTGTGCAAAGTGGTCAACTCAGTTGAGACTCCTTTGAATTTCCACCGACAGAGAGCTTCACGAAAAGTAGACTGGCCTTTTACTCCTGCAACGGACTCGGTGATAAATTCTCGAAAAAAAAAAAATATGGTTCCACACCTCGGCGAAGCTAGCCCTCGCGCACGCGAGTTAGAGCTCACATTATTGCGTCAGTCAGGAAGTCATTATTGCGTCAGTTAGGAAGCTTTGATAACTTAACGATGACAGCAACAAAACCGTTCAAAAACTAGTTTAATGAGCAAAAAAGCAAAATCATCCCATTGCAGAATTTTCTTCCAGTAACAACCCGCAAAACAAAACCCGTTAGCGTAAATAAGACTAGTTAGCCCCCTCTATACAAGAACCAGCTTAGTATGAAAACAGGTTCCTATTTCTAAAAGCAAGTAAATGTATGTTATGTTCTAGAGGAAGACTGCAAAGATCATGTCATCGGTGCTTCAATTTTCCCTATTAAAATCATTGTCACAATAATACATATGTGGTATGCAGATTCTATATAAAGAAAGTACTCAATACCACTGAATTCTGTTCGCTACAATGTAACGTTTTCTACGGATAATAAACCTCAAATAGCCTCAGGCTACGTTTACATACCACTGAGCGAATTTTCGACCGGTAGAAAATTCGTACGTTTAGGTGTTCAATTCATACGGAACCACCCTAAACGTACGAAAATTTAGACGCCTAGCCGTTCAAAGTTCCGTGTGAATAGAGCGAAAATATTGAACGATCCCGTGTGAACGAAGTGTCTGGTCCAATTTTTCAGCCACTGGAAAATTCGTCCGGTGCGTGTTAACGTAACCTTCATTTGTGCTTATTACCATTAACATAAGAACCTGTTTAGGCTAATATGGAAAAATACATTTTCTTACCCGCAGGTTTTTGCTGAATATCTCATGTGAGTACAAAAATAATTTTCATTTCTTTTGAACTTGGATATGGTTCCTAATAATTAACCTCCTAAGTGCTAAACACACGAACGCGAGTTTCACTGCCGCCAACGGCATGATTACTTGACCTTCAAAAGCATTTGCAGTCCAGACGTAAACTTCGAAATGTTTAACGTTTCTTGAACTTTTTTCGCGGCGCAATCACACACAACTTTCCAAAGTGTAACGAGGTGTTTAATAGAAATACCCAGGGTTGAGTAGAGAAATTGAGCAAGAAGATTAAAATTGTTAGCTGAAGTCGAAGAAGAATAAAGATCAAGATGAAAATCAGATTCCTGGTAACTCCTCGTGTAGCGAGCGAGTTGCTCGAACACACACCTCCACCCTTTGTACCTACGTATCGATTTAAAAGGAGCGATAGTATTTCGTTATTCCATGAAAAGTTAGTTATATATGTCTATTGTAAGGGACAGGTTCACGGTTAACCTCATGCTCATTAATTAAATTCTTTCTTTCCACTTTTATTATTAATTCTATCGGTTAATAATCCCACTCACATGTATCTCAGCGATCTCAGAGTGTATTTCAAAGTAGAATTGTATTCAGAGTAACCTGAAGTAGGATGGAGGAGTACTAAAATCGCCGAAAAAATAGTGGATTATGCTAACACTAACAACGTTGAATTTATTGTTGACCCGATGGTTTTATTCCATGGTTGATTAATTTACAGCTATTTGCAAATATTTAAGTTGATGAAGTGCAAGTGACTGCCAGGGGAGCTTGCAGATTGGTTCTTTGACAACATTATGTCATGATCATATTGCTTGCATAGACGATACAGCATGTCCCGGCAGAAAAACAGCATTTTGATATATGTGCATGCGCTGAACCGTGATCCTGTCCCTTTAACCTCATGTTCTCTGATCTCTAAGATCGTTTGCAAAAAATAGAGTTTAAGTAGATTATTTATACTGTTCACAGTCCCTTTTTTTTTCCGTAAGGTTGTCAGGATTGAGCGCTTACCGGTACGGGCGGCCATCTTACGAGGGGACAGGCGTCAGGGTTTATAGCGGTGGGGGGAGGGGGGGAGAAAAAATAGCTTCCTACCAAACCGTCCACGCCCTCTCTAAGTAGATTTGAAACCCATCCAAGATAGCCGCCCGTAACCATAGTCTTTCATCTCGAAGATCTTACGGAAAAACAGTCTATAGATTATTGTGTCATCATTATTGACACATATCTTCCGCGCGCGTTATTAAAAAAAATCTATCCACTGTCCAGTGTTTCTTTGCAGTAATTATCGGTAGTTACTCTACAAGGTAATGATCCTCTGCTTCGATTTCTGTAGCTTGAACAAGTTTACTAAATGTCGAGTCTGGAGTTGCCAATAATGTGGAAGGACTATCAAACTCAACAATCTGGAAGAGAGCAAATCAAACTAAGCCATAGTTTTTCAATAAAGAAGCTTTCAACGTTATATTTTGGGGCCGAAAGCTTTGTAGCATAAAACAAATCTATTCATTATATTCCTCTTTAGCATAAACTCAGTATCGTTTTTTTGAACTTAACTGAGTCGATTACAATCAATAAAATGATAAATCACGAAAGATGATCTTGCCGTTTTTTGTTATCAATTGTACATCACTGGTTTTGAACAACAAATAAACAGCCCTTGTACCTTTCCTTCATCCATGACAATAATCCGATCAGAATCCATAACAGTATTCAGGCGATGTGCGATCGTTAAAAGCGTGCAGTCCTTAAACGACTCACGGATCGTGTCCTGGATTTTAGCATCTAAAGAACAGATAAGAGAAAGTTAATTTCCTCCCAGAAATGTGAAAATTAACAATGGCCTGACAGCTTCCAAATTTTCCCAAATTAAGTACGCGGTATACTCCCTCTATGGAAACCCTTCCCCGTTGTTTTTAACACGTTACCTGTCTCAGAGTCAATAGCGGCCGTAGCTTCATCAAGTAGTAAGATCTGGAACACATACAATAATAAACGGTGTTGCAAATTGTTGTTACAAAACTATCAATAGTTTATACATTCCCTACCAAGCAAGTGTCTTATTAAATACTTACATTTACGTGTAAAATTTGTTGTATCAAAGTAAAAAAACAAGACCATGACTCATCTGACAGTTGTTTATACTGACGAACAGGATTTCGTACCTTACTGTGTCTTAGCAGAGCTCTTGCCATACAAATCAACTGCCTCTCACCAACTGAGAAGTTCTCACCATTTTCAGTAACAGGGGCAAGAAGTTGTGCTGGCAAACTGTCCACCTTAAAATCAAATGACGTTAAGTCGAATTCAAACATACAGAATTTTTTACTTCTTACGGCGGTTATTTGCTAAACATCAAACTTTACGTTCCTAGTGTTGGATTTTCAGTAGCTGGTCTAGATCGCGCAAAATTAGACGTTTATCAATTTCAAATTCTTTGTTTATTATTGTCATACTAATATCGATTTTACTAAAACCTGCATTTTGACAAATTTCAATTTATACACAATCATTGGTGAAAATTTTATAGCGATCGGACAAGGAAAAGACCACTTTTAAGGCGATTAAAAAATATCGGTATGGCCTCTGAAAAACTGTATCGAAACACCTTAAGTTTCTGAGCTTTTTGCTCATCCGCGTGTTTGTCTAGGAAATCGCCCCATTGAGAGCATCTCCTTTGCTTCATTCGCTTTACAGTTTTGTAACTTTTTATATATTAACTTGGTATTTGTTCATTGTTAATGTTCAGTATCACTTCGCTGGTTTCAGTTGCAAACACAGTGGTAGAAAGAAAGACGCTTGATTAGAAACGGGCGCCAAGTAAAGGCTGCGACTACAATACTGCACTTGCAAACAACCAAATGTAGTTACTGCCTAAAATGCATGCAATTCAGCAGCTGTTCTCAGCACTGTTAAGCCCTACATCAGTTGTAGACAGAAAAATTCAAAAGGGATCGCCCACAATGTTAGCACAGTTAAAGACGGAAATTTTGGCAAGGATAGTAAGAATAAGATACTTTCAACAGCGTGACAAGTTCTCAAATCACAACTGCAGTAAGTGTACTCCTACCATCTCCCTCAGATGTGCTTTCTCTAGTGCCTTCCATAGTTCTTTGTCACTGTGCTGTTTAAATGGGTCTAAGTTATACCTGACAAAAGAACGGTGACATGTATTAACAAAGGGTGAAATATACACGAATACGGATATGTTGAAATCGCGTACTATCCACTTTGGATTCACACATCCACATGAATAGGCTACTGCGGTGTACACTGCCTACCTCCTAGCTAGCAGGCATTCGGACCCGCGATGCGATTTCACTGGCCGTATATCCTTCCTAGTTTCAGCGCTTTTAGCCAACATTTCATACGTGTCTCAAGCACGAATGTCAAGTGGAAAACGTCGCATGGCAATCGCTTCCTTCCATATATTCTGATATACTGAAACTGTTCAAAGAACATTATCCAAGTAAACAGGAGGTTTGTTGTCCTCTATTTTAAATTTGCAATTTCTTATTTGAACCTGGACCCGAGTTTATGACGGTTGCAGTCGTCTACACGAATGCGCCAAACCAGGCGGATCCAAAAAAAATCCACCCTGGAAAGCGGTTTTAACAGATGTCGTTTCGGTGAGCAGATTCACTGGTTTCGAGTGGACAGAAGGCCTATTTGACAAACATTTAGGCGGTTTAAATCCGTATTCGTGTGGACGGGGCTTTAACAAACACTTACAAAGAAACCGGGTGTCATGAAATATTGCTGAATTAGGTTCAGATATTTACACACGGTAAAACGTGCAACTTGTGTCCAAACATTGCTAACAAACAATTTTAAAAGTAACGTTGTACGTTTTACTTTCAAACCTGTCTTGCAACATGTTGCAGCAAGTTGCGTGAACGCTTACTTCTCATTAGATAAAATACGCGGTACTAACGCAATACACAGGGGTGACGTCACTTTCTGCAAAACAAGTTTGCCTTGGGCCGGTAAAACACGCAACATGTACAGATTTTACTCCAAAAAGTAAAACTACTCTCTGCTTTCTGTAACGACTTTTCCCAACCTGCAAAAACCAGATTTGTTACAAGACAGGTTTGAACGTGAAGGCTAAACGACCAACATCGCTTTTCAACTCGTATTGCAGCAATATTGCAAAACAAGTTGCATGTTGCCACCCGTTAGACAGACCTATAGACACAAATGAACTGTTACCTTACAGTTCCGACAAAAAGGACTGGGTCCTGAGGAATGATTGAAATTCTGGATCGAAGATCTTCCAAACCTGCAATAAGACATGTACAAACAACAGGAAGAAATCTTTGCAAAAGTTTTCTTACTGACTGAATCCAATTCGCCAAGGCACCAGGAACTTCACATGATATGTTTATCTCGCCTCATACGCATGTGTTCTTTTGGTTCGTCACGCAATCCTCCACAACGGGATAAGTGGACCGTTTCGTGACGAGTTAAAGAAGGCCTAAATCCGTAGGCTTATACAGTTTCGCAAGGTCTTTTGAGCGGGATTACATTCGGGGGAGCTTACTAGCGGAATAATTTTCCCGCTTTGAAAAATTCAGAACTAGCCGACCGACCATTTTTCCTCGGGCGTTTTTGCTAAAAATCTCTCACTACCGTGTATACTACTTATAATCCAGTCAAATTGTGGCGTAACATTAAACTAATTGCAACAGAATGTTTTTCAACGCCATTTAATTGTTAAACGGCTACCTAACAACATACTAAAAATCCGCCAAAATCCGTTCGGTCGAACATGAAAGAAAAATTGGCAACAAAGATTTTCAACTATCATCACAGCAAATCCAGTTTCAGCAAAATCACAAATTCAGACAAAAGACCAGATAATCATGTTTTTTTCCCTTAAGAATCGTAGATACATCATTGCTAATGTATTTTGGGTAGATTTGTTTTAAAAAACGCCAACTAATATAGAAACACCTGGGTCAGTGCTTCGTCTTGGCGGCTTTGCACAGGTTACCCCGCCGGGCGTCTGTCATCACATTCTGTTTTCCAAGCTTGATTTTTTTATGGTGGTATTTGAAACGGAAATAATTAGAAAATCTGTATTAACTTGATTAAAACATAATGATAGTTTTTTCTCACCAGCAGAAATGCAGTATGTATTTTAGAAGTCTTAAGTGCTGGTAATTCAAATATCAAATCTAACTGTTCACAATCAGTCAGCTACATGTACTAAATTTGCATCCAAGCTGCAGGCTACTGCGACTAAATGTGCGCAACGATTGCTTTGGATGAGTACAAACCGTTTACCATATTTCTGCTTCTGTAATAGAGTTTTGTGAAGTAGTTATGTTTAAAACCTTGGGCAAAATATGTGTGATCGAAAACTGGGATGCTTTTTTTTCTTGCGACTCTGTACCTTACAATATGAGTGAATAAATATGCTGCTTCGAACTCTGTCTATTTGATTTTTGGTAGATCCTGACGCTCTGCGCTTATCATTGCATCTAGCCGACTCTGTTGCAAGGGAAATCCAGAAAACCTAGCGCATTCTCATTGTTCTTTTTTGTCTTCTTGTAGCGAGTCTCAGATTTAGTTTAATGTATCCGTGTGTTCAGTTTGTAGTTTCTGCGGCAGCCCTACCGTTATTGGTAAGATGAATAATGAGATTAATCGCTCTGTGGCCTCAAGACGTTTATATTTCCTCCTTGCATTTCTTTTGTGAGAACTGCCCTGAACCTTCACCAATTTTTTTGTCCATCAGAAAGTAAAGATCTCTTTTTCTATAACGTTCACAGGATCCTGTACGTCTGAAAATAATTGCAGTGGCCAATAAAGGCGCGAAAGTATGGGCATACATGCTTATGTACTGGACATCACGTCTTTAAAACAAAAAACTGTTGGAGGGCTGTAACATTATTGGAAAATCCAGCTAGATATACATTTTCTCTTACCGTTATGGCTAACCGAAATCTGATAAGAAAGGATATATTTTAAAAGCTAATAATTAAGTAACGGCTTCCATTTTTTAGATTAAAAACCTTACGACTAAATTTGTTGTTATTTTACAGCCAACAGTTCACTCTATTACTTTGTAAGCCCCTTGTTATTTTTAGGGTGTCTTGAGTAGAGCATGGCTTTCATGTGCAATAGCCAGCCGTGTTCAAGGTGACTCGAACCAGTTTTTTTTTTTTGGGGGGAAGGGTACGATCCTACTTTGAAGCTCTCTGGTATCCCCATCTTTACTTTTATCGTAAGTCTAACACATAGAATGGATAACATATACATCAATCTACAATATAACATAAAATTTTTGGCGATCGGAGTAAATGTCACGTGGTTATAATGCCACGCCCCTTTGGGATCTGAGTCGAAAATCTGCTGTTGCCGGCATTTTTTCGTGAAAATCTCTCGGCTACACATAGTGCGCATTAGTGCCTTGCGCTGAACAGAGTTTCACCAAACTCGCAAAGACCCAATTCGAGAAATTCAGCGGTTTCCAAATTTAGGTCATAATTTACGCGAAAATGATAAGCAAACTTTACACGATTATATCTAATAAACTATGAGACTTATCCCTTTATTTTGGGGATCGTTATAACAGATGGGTCCTTGCAAGTCAGCAAAAAGCGTTAGGGCCTTGTAAATGCGCGCGATTTCGAGCAAAGCAAACATATAGAAATTATAGTTTTAGCTATTTGTTGACGTTTGTCAGCGTTTAAGAGTCCTTCTCACGAAAAAAGCATTTTCTTAAAAATTCGTAGTTTTTTTTCCTTCAAATTTTTTCAGGCCCACAGTTGATTAACTAACTACCCGGACTCTGAATTTCATGGTCATTGAAAAACCGTGACATTATCTTCTATAAGCCCAAACTTGAGTAAACATTGAAGATTTTTAGCGTTTTGGCTGAGTTTGTGCTTTGGGAGTTGTCTATTGTTTCTAGTCTGTCATTATGCAGCATTCTTGTTCAGCACGCGTGCAATGACCACGCTTGGCTGACTTCCGAATGCTCACCGAGATATGATAATTTAGTATGAGAAAATAGAAGGGATTTCCGTCACGAGTTGGTTTAATTATTGGCTTGCATTAAACTTATGAAAAAATGATATTTCTTTAATAGTAAGTAGATTTAGTGTGTAGCACTTCTTCATTTTTTTGCAAAGGCACAAGAAGCACGAGAATTGATTAAAAATTGTGAGTTAAACCTCTATGTATCACGCGATGGCGTGATTATCATATCTCGGTGAGCATTCGGAAGTCAGCCAAGCGTGGTCATTGCACGCGTGCTGAACAAGAATGCTGTATAATGACAGACTAGAAACAACAGACAACTCCCAAAGCACAAACTCAGCCAAAACGCTAAAAATCTTCAATGTTTACTCAAGTTTGGGCTTATAGAAGATAATGTCACGGTTTTTCAATGACCATGAAATTCAGAGTCCGGGTAGTTAGTTAATCAATTGTGGCCCTGAAAAAATTTGAAGGAAAAAAAAGTACGAATTTTTAAGAAAATGCTATTTTCGTGAGAAGGACTCTAAAACGCTGAGAAACATCAACAAATAGCTAAAACTATAATTTCTATGTTTGCTTTGCTCGAAATCGCGCGCATTTACAAGGCCCTAAAGCGTTTTACTGACTTGCGAGGACCCATCTGTTATAACGATCCCCAAAATGAAGGGATAAGTCTCATAGTTTATTAGATATAATCGTGTAAAGTTTGCTTATCATTTTCGCATAAATTATGACCTAAATTTGGAAACCGCTGAATTTCTCGAATTGGGTCTTTGCGATTTTGGTGAAACTCTGTTCAGCGCAAGGCACTAATGCGCACTATGTGTAGCCGAGAGATTTTCACGAAAAAATGCCGGCTACAGCAGATTTTCGACTCAGATGTCAAACGGGCGTGGCATTATAACCACGTGACATTTACTCCGATCGCCAAAAATTTTATGTTATATTGTAGGTTGATCTATATGTTATCCATTCTATGTGTTAGACTTACGATAAAAGTAAAGATGGGGATACCAGAGAGCTTCAAAGTAGGATGGTACCCCCCCAAAAGAACTGCGTCGAGTCACCTTAGTAGTTATCCTTAAAAAAACACTTCTTTTTTCACCGAAAACTTGGAAGTAGTTATTCTTTTTTCTTTAAGTTTTCGCTAGAGTAACAAATAAGTCTTGTGCATTTTTCTTTTGAACGTATAATTTTAAATAACGTGGGTGTCCTGCGTTAAAAGCTCAAAATGCTTAACGCTTAATTTTGGCGGATTTTTAGTATGTTGCTAGATAAGCAACTCTCGCTTAAATGGCGTTGAAAACAATTCTGTTACAGTTGGTTTGATGTTCAGCCTCAAAAATGCCTACATTGACTGGACTATTAGGAATCGACTAATCTGTCTGGACAGTCCTGACTAATAATAAAATTCTCGTTACGACTAGACCAAGAGGGGTACTTAAGGAGTACAAGCAGCGTTTGCTGTAGTTCAATTTTATCATTGCTTTAAAATACATTTGTTTGCATCAAACTTTGAAAGGTACGTAACCACCCCCCAAAAAGAAACTAAGTTTAAAGCACGAATAAAATAGAACCACAACTCATTTACATACCAATTTGGGTGATATCCACATTATCAATATACATGGATCCAGCCTCAGGCTCCACAAGTCGCCATAGCAACACACCTAAAGATGATTTGCCAGAACCTGTCCTTCCTACGATTCCTATCTTTTCACATCCTTTGATTTCACAACTGACATTATGAAGCACCAGAGGCAGCCCATCGCGATATCGCATCTGTTTAGCACAACACACAGTTTTTTTTACAAAGTTTAAAAGTTTAATCAAAGTTCCCCCGAGCCGCAATTTTGATTAATATGACGTCACTGCCTAAGCGATGGTTAACTCTTGAATACTAGAAAGGTATTTTTTTCTCTTGCTTTTTCATTATGAATTATTAACGAGTTTCTGAAGCCCAGTAAGCGACCACCTCTATTGTTTTACTGTATGCGGTCGCTTACGATAACTCATTCTTGTAAGTGACTTGCTCTAGTTACGGCCACTTTTTCGAATTTTTGAGGTGGTCGCTTACGAGAGCCTCAACTATATAATTTGTAATCCTGCCTGGTAAACTTTTTCCGCGTAACTGGAGTGCTTAAGAATTGCATACAAATGAGTATTACCTTGATCCCTGACAGCTGAATTGCTCCGGTTGAGGGCCAGTTTGAGGGAGGTTTTTTTTCTGGAATCTCTAACGCAGCCTCGCTTGGCACAGACTGGATGTAATAACTAATTCGTTCAACACTTGTGAACCGCGCCTCTGTTTCTGCCACCTGACGGACAGTAAACTGTAGCAGCATGGTCATCTGTACACAAAAACAACGTACTTGATGAACGTAATAAAAGAAAGTTAATTGATTATTGACAAAGGTTAAGATACAAATTTTCAAGGCGTTTTGTTTCCAAGATTTCATTTACCATCTTAGAGATCTTAGTGTTCAAAACTTTACTTGTCACTGACAGATTTACCCAGGGAAAATGAAACGACTCTTCAAGCTACCTAGTTTTTTTCCTGGAGAATTCTATTCTTCAAAGTCATTTTACCAAACGTTTCACCGGGTAAATCTTAGTGTCTGTGATAAAAACATAGGCACGTTTAACGTGCATGAGCTATTTTGGATGCTTTAGTGCAACCTTTATGCGTCAGGGTAAGCTTACCAAGAGTGATGAATCTACCTTTTTTATCCTAAAGTAGACTGTGTTTTAAAGCGAAATTGGGTATTGCGATAGATAAATGGTCATAAATGAAAATGCGAAACGCTCAGCTGAGTCGATCCTCACGCTATATATTCACTTTCTTCTGTCTTTCCCTGATACATCTGGTGCAAGTTAAACAAATTGTTAAAGTTCAAGAAATATCAACTCATCAAACGTTGATTAGAAGGAAAACTCCACGGTTTCCTAGGAGTTTCTTAGGAAAATGTGGCTCATAGAATACCGACTAATTGCGAAATACCGGGATTTTTATCATTGTGGTAGAAGGTTGCATCATCGTAATTCACGAGGTTTTCACGTGCGATTCTACTCAGTGAAACAGTCTTTAACTCTGACAACTTAATTCTTCCTGTTTCAAAAGCTATTGCTTCTTAAAAGACAAGAGCCTTTTTTAAGACATTGGTTACAAAACGAAACAGGTCTTGATACGTTCAAGTTACTAGTATTACTGTGAAAAACCAATCTGCATGAGATGCACAGTCACACAGCTGGCAAGTGAAAGTGTTGGACTTTGCCCCCTTTCGTGGTTCGTACGTGAGGGAATTGGAGTTATCACACAGTTATCTAGTAAAGAGGATTATAAAAATAACTCATACGCACAATCAGCGCGTGAAGATATTGACTTTGCCCCTTTTAAAATTTGTATGTGAAAGAACGCATATTGTTTACGAGATTACTTAGCTCAAACGATTTTAACAAATCACCTCCTTTTCTAACATCTGCAACAAAATTATGCATCATTCATTACTTTACTTCTAACAGAATGATTGTCTGCTGAAATACTGATTTCCACTCATCTCATGTTGTTCCACTCAATGAAACAATCTCTAATTATTTCGTCAACTGGCTACTTCCAAGTTTATTGGCTAACGCAAAAGTTACGCATCTTTACTTAGCTTCTGGGTAAATTAAATACTATGTTCTAATTACTTTCATGACAGCAAACATGAATGTTTGCTGTCAAGTACAAGTATGGTTGACAGCAAACATGAATGTTTGCTGTCAAGTACAAGTACAAGTATGGTTGTACTTAAGTTACCGGAACGTGAATTTAAAGCTCTGTTGACTGAACTTTGTACAAGAGAGAAAAAAGCATGTTTACAGAATTATATTTACTCAGTACAGCTTAAAAAAAAAAAAAACAGGTCTTGTTCAAGCTTCTGAAAACACAATTACGCATACTTCCAAGTTAAAGTCAACATCTAAATACTTTGAAGACTATGATTTTTTGTACTTCACTTTAAAGCAGGTGAAAAAAACACGTACATTGTGCCGTTCGAATTGCCGAAATAGCCGAATTAGGTCGTCGATGTCTTAAAATAGCAGCCACACTAAAATATGAACCCTTAAACAGCTGCATCACTGAACTCACCGTTTGAATCATGAAGATATTTAAATATTATGCTTCTGAACGCCTTTAGCCGTAATAGAAGAAAACAAAATTAAGAAGAACCAAAATTGCAGTCTCAAAGTGCCCTTGCTTGACCTTTAGCGCAGCAATGTTTAGACGCAAAATCTCATTGGTTCCTAGCAATCAACTCATCGTACCTTCAACCTTATTGGCCCCTGCAACACACATCCGAACGGACAAACCAAAAAGCTACAAAGATACATACGCTTAGACCACTGACATATGAGCTATTTTGAAAAAATAGCTCAATGAGGATGAGGATCTTGGGGAAACACAGCCCACTGTTCTCTTCGTGCCAGTCATCAGAGTTTGGTTGCTATTTTGCTAGAACCTTGAAGCTCATTTAAACAAATGGCTAACGGTTCAGCTAAGTACTATTTAACAAATATTCCTCGAGCCCGAATGGGCATGCATCCATGGCTTTCGTCATCACAAGAACGAATTTTTCTCCTGTTTTCGAACTCACCCACTGAGCGTTAATGACAATAGACCGTTCCTGCATTTCTGTAAACAAAGCAACCAACTGGAGGCCTGGGGTCACAAACAACAGTGAGTTCAATGAAATTGTCCACCGAAGCCTCGACCTCGTTTCCCCTGCGTGAGCTCACTGGAGCAGAATACGAAAAAAAGGTCTATATAAACGTTTGCCATTATTCGCTTGTGAAGACTTAATAAACATATGATATGGGTATGGGTAAGACTACCGACTAAGTTTGTACGTGTTTGCAAACTTAAACGGACTCGTGTTAACATAGTATTGGTTTTGAAAAGGCAGAATCTTACCTTCAGAGAATACGTCAACACAAGACCAAGGAAAGCTGGAGGGAGGGTTCCCTTGATGAGTACTACCATGAAAGCCGCAAGGGTAACTATACACACAGTCAGCATATCAAGGCGCACAGCCAACCAACGATTTGAACAGTAGAACATGAAAAAAGGGCGAGTGTTTAAGTCCAGGTATTTTTTGAAAACTTCATTGAAGTCGGCCATCTTGTTGTATGCGTGCAGAGTAGAAAGACCTTGTACCGTTGCTGATAAATGGGAGTAGAGAGGCGAGCGAGTGACACCATCCATGCGTTTTAGCTGACGAACCGACCGGTTAAATACTCGAGTTATTAATAGAAACAAAATAAAAAGAGGAAACAAACCAATTAAGAACCACGGGAATACAACAGCGATTACAGCCACGGAAATTAATATACGTATGACATTTTGTGCAGACGCTTCTAAGTTAAAAGGCAATTGGATATCAATCTCGTCCAGATCTTTAGAAAATCGGTTGAGTATCCTTCCGGTTGGAGTGGTATCGAAAAAAGCCATGCTGGCCCTGGAAACTCGCTCAAACACTTTGTCATGAAGTTGAGAGGATGATTTCAGAGTCAAATGCACAAAAAAGTAAGTTTTCATCAACACGGCTATGAAGAACGCCAAGGATGATACAACATATATAAAAATATAAAAGCTGTTTGAAGAATTGTTAGCCATGATGCCAGACCTTTCAGGCGTTGTTAAATTCTGTGAAAAAAGGAAGCAAAATTAAATGTCAACATGGATCTTAACTATGATGTATCTGAAGCCCCGTCCACGAGCGAATCGGTCTTCCGTCTACAAGAAACCGTTGAATGGACTTCGTTTTGAAACCACCCCCTAAAGAATTTTTCTGTCACAAACGTATCCGAATAGACGATTGAAACCGGATACAGTGTTGACGCAAATAACAAGTAGACTGACGGTTTCAGCGTATACAAATTCGTGTGGAAGTGGCCTTACTCGTTCACAGGAATTCACCAAACCCGTCGGATCCAAAAACATCCACTCTGGAGAGCGGTTTCAAAAATATGCGGTATCGGTGTGCAGATTCACTGGCTTCGTGTGGACGGAGGGCAGATTCGTATAAAAAAGTATGCGGCTTCGAAAATATTCGTGTGGACGGGGCCTAAGGGTTGATTCATTTGCAACATGCACGTATGGCCGACACATTAGCCCGCTAGAATAAATGTGTTCATTTTTTTAAGCCAAAGAACAATAACAAATTCCAACGGACAAACGCGACAGCTATACGCGTATGTTGTTAATGAATCCCGCTTAAGATTTAAGGCCACGTCCACACGAATTCGAACATTTTAGAAACAGCATATTTTCTTACTCGGATTCGTGTGGGCGGGGTCTTAAACCACTCTGGAGAATAGCGTGAAAAAGGTTCGGTATCGGTGTGCGGATTCACTGGTTTCATGTAAAAAAACTATGCGGTTTCCAAAATATCCGGATTCGAGTGGACGCAGCCTAAAGCCATTTCCAAACGAATCCGGGTATTTTTTTACACGAATCGGCCTTCGGTGCACACGAAACTAGGAAACCCGCTCACTTCTTTTGGATACGACGGATTTGCGAATTCGTGTAGGCGATTGAAACTTTGTACGCGGGTTCAGCCTGACTGGATTCGTTTGGATGGGGATAAGTTTATATTTTTCTCTGGCGACAGAGTTGGGGTCATAAAAAGAAACTGAGAGCGTTACGATCTCGTGAAAATGAAATGTACGGAATCATAACCATGGTCGACTCCACGCGTGGAACAAACAGCTCGATTGATTTAATTTTCTACACAACGGGGAAACAAGCCTCGCCACCAATATATTAGTTGAACGTAAGTTAGGTTGCCAGCCGTAACATTAAATTTTATTTAAGGGGGCGACATATCAGAAAAATTGAGGAATGAGTTGTTTCACCTGAGAAGCAGCAGCGTTTAACCAGATCCCAAGCCACGTATCAATGAAGGTCATTCCACATAGGCAGAGAGCAGTGAACAAGATTAAGAACAGATAGACACAGTAACCTGCAAAATAAAACACCGGAAGGTTCTTGTTATAGGGGATCACTTGGCTATAGCCAATTTGTTATTTTGAATTTGAATTCAAAGACGAGGGCAATAGGAACTTTACAACGCAATGACTTTTACAAGTACTACAAAATAGTTATGATGTACATTTAATTTTGCTTCGTATGTGGGGATACTCTCCTCACACCAAGTCCCCTATGAATCAGCATTAACGCCTGAAAACATGGAGTTAAGTTGCCTTGTCTCTCTCAAGGCGGCTATTTCACTGGTTATAACACACCCGATTGCCATTACAAGAGGTACTGAAATGCCACTGAACAGTCGAAGCTCTCGTAAGCGACAACCTCGAAAATTCCAAAAAGTGATCGTAACTAGAGCTGGTCGCTTACGAGAATGAGTTCTTTGCCAATTAAACGTAGTCGATCCAGCTGAAGAGATCACGGTGAGCCGTACTGTGAAGTACATAAGCATTTAGTTGCATTTTTTATGCTAAGTGCCACAGTGTTTCAAACAGAATTATACGCATTTTATAATTTTTTTGTTTCCCTTGGCAACTTCTGAAGGCTTAATTTACGATTATGATCCTCAAGTTTGGTGTCAGGCACGACATCAAATTCGTGAAAAATACAGCCATACAGGATACTAAATACAAAAAATAACAAAATATGATAGATAGTTAAGAGGATACACTTCAGTAAGTGGTGTGAATAACCGAGGGCTGGTAAAACACAAGGAAAACTTGAAAATGTTTGTACAATTTGTATCACACTCCTATTTTGTACATTTCTTTGCCGCCACTGGTTACTGCACGACTTTAGCTTCAGGAGAGTTCGCGTACACTTGGAAAGCAAATGAAATGGAATGATCACGATGAAGACTCAGAAAGTGTAAATTCACTTAATTCACTTTTTAAGCGTTGTTTTCCCCGCTAATCTAGTCGTGGTATCTTTAACCCCCTCCTTGAGGCATATTTGACCCCTGGCGAGAAAAAAGTACTTCCGGTTACCGCACTAGACGCTCCCGTAGTCATTGCTTAAAGTCCTTATTATGCAGAATACGTGTCTTTTAGTTTGAAGTTCTTTCACTTACCTCCCCCTGACTTCATGTAAGTTTTATAAGTCTGAAATGTCACTGCTCCCTCTGCACGGTCTTCCGCCTGAGTCAGTCTCCCAGCTGCAAACATGCAAGGTTCAATATAAAGACGAAACAAGCTGACCGCCCCAACAGTCACCCAACCCTCTATATACTTATTCTTACCTTCATGACAGTCGTCTCTGGAAAAATAGTTAGAAAAATTCAGTTTACAAAGTAGTCTCGGAAAGGAGATTTGACAGTACCATTCTGGCGCAAATTGCAGCGCACGGACGTTTGAACACCTCCCTTTCTTCCAAAGGGTGTGGTTAGTTTTATGTAGTCGAAAAGAAAAATACATGTTTATATACAGTGATATTTTTCTGTGTCTGCCCGTGCCCGAGGACAGACGTTCTAGGACATTTCAAAACGAAACACGGTTTTCCAAAAGACTCGGGTAAATAAGTGAGAAAAATAAAAGGGCCAAAAAAGTATGGCCGGTTAAGGAAAGCAGCTAAATGTACGATGAAATCGCCTAAAATTAACCTACGTGTGTCCAAGTGCAAAGTTATCTCAGTCAACCCACCTTCCTTCTTCTTTTTCTCTTCTTCCTCTTTCCTGGCTTTAGATTCAATGCCACCGGACAATCGTCTCTGCTTTGAGGTGGCACGAAGGCGTCTACTGCTCACTCTGTCATTCAGTTTAAACGGTTCAAGATTTCCTTCACTCGAACTGCTACGTAATCCCCTACCCCTGCTACTAGCCGAGATCTGCCGCTCAAACAGTTTAGTTATGTCATCTGCTGATAACGAGGACAGAGCTACGTCGCCTCGCTGACGGTCGCCACAATGAAGAAACTCACCAATGTCTTCATCAAACAACTCTTCTTCGACTTCCCTTATAAACATGCCAATAAGAGTGGCAAACTCCTACAATAGAATTGGATAACAGTGCCATAGAAACGTTTTGCTGATGAGCTATCGTTTGAAAAGTGAATTCAAAACGAATTACTTCACAGCAAGGCTATTATAAGTCAGGCCTTCTTTTTTCTCCCTTCTAGTATAGTACTAATGGCCGTATTCACACTAGAGACGGACTATCCTGAGACGGGTTATCCGTTTTATAATTCGCGTCAGACAGATAATACGTCTTAGTATACAGCTATTTCGAGAAAGGTTGTAGGAAAAATGTGCACGGGACAGTCCCGAAAGGTAATATGGGATATGATTAATACACTGTTTCTGACGACTGTACCTGTCGAACCTACTTTTGTTGCTTTTCTTTAGCACTCGCAAACACATTTCCACGGCCTTTCGTACCAATTCTTTCAAATTTCTTTAGAGAACAGTGAACTTAAAACCACCCACAATGCCTTTGGGGACTGTCGCGTGCACCTTTTACGACAACCCTTCTCGAAATAACTGTATTCTAAAACAGTGGATAGTGTTTTTCGCGCGCTCTGATTGGCTACTCAATCAGTGAATATCCTGCACTATTCACTGATTCACCTCCTGTTCCTCCAAACGAGCGACGCCAAACTCGCGTAAGTTGCGAGCAAAATGCCTTCCCGATTTGCTGCCGTAACAAACAAAGAAATTTCACAACTAGTCAAGCAAGCTGATCCCGAAATACACGAAGAAGGTGACGAAGTTACGAGGTAAAGCTTTGTCTTTTTTACTCGAATTTATCGATAACACTGGTGAAAAAGTTTTTTGTTTACAAATGCAAATTAAGCTTAAGTCTTACGTTACTTTATTTGGATAAATAAACTTAAACCTAAATTTAATAATCCTTTTTTACAGAATGATTTTAAATACAAAAAGAATTCACAACTCCTCTTGAAGAAATTTCCCCGCAAGAGCTAAACAAATGCCTTCAAAAGTTTTATTTGTCGGCAAGAAAAAGCGACGGCTGCGGCCGTTCGGTCATTACACGCCAAAATTGTAATCGTTGGCAACAGTATTTGAGTTAAAAATCATCATTTTTGTGCTCAATTATCTCACTGTTTTAGTATATACTAAAACAATTATTTACCACAGTGTCGGTGGCTAGTGGTGATATTTACTTCGCTCCTTCGCAGCTTGGTAAAATTCCACGACCAGCCACCTCCACTTCGGTGAATAATTGTTATTTAATTTGAGAATGGAACGGTCTTCATTTTGGATAGACAATCCGCCTGACTTTATCCATCTGTTTTTCTATCAATTTATACGGACTTTGAAGATGGATTATCCTTCTCTAGTTTGAAAACGGCCGATAAAGTCTACAAATGCTAATTCAGATGCTTTGTGCGCACAAGAAGGCAGTCTAGTTGCTTCATCTTGTTTGCAGGCACTAGCTTCTCGAGAAAATCACACACAAAAGATCCAAATCAAAGATCACCATAACTGAAAGGAGCCAAACCATTTGGTTATTTACAGTTGCGCAGGTGTGGCCGAGAAGTTGAACTCGGTACTATCGAGCGGGACTCTAGTCCAAACCTAGATGTCAACGAAGTCACCACTCGGGGACCGTGCCTCATGCTGTGTTATCATGACGAATCAGTTATTTTGTTATAGTTTGTTACCCCATTGTTCCTTATGAGTTCTTCATAAGTTCCTCTCTCAGCAATCTTGCCATTTTTCATGTACAACACAATGTCACATTGGCTAAGGTACTGTGGAGAAAAATCCAGCAGTTTTGTAAAAAGGAGAACATTTTTAATCTCTGTTGATTTGTTAGAGTAGAGAACGAGGAACACGACAACAGTAGAACACAACAACATGGGTTTATTCGTGAACCGCCATTACAAGAGCACATGGTTCGAAGTGGAGGATCATGGGAACTAGAAACATACTTCATGTGCGCTACAATATACTATCAATCAACGTCCCTTCTTCTTTAGAAAAATAACAATGGAGTTTCTTGGTAACTAAATATGAATGCCGAATCTTTCACTGAAGATGTCCACTTAAATAACAATAACAAGGAACTCAAACAGTATCTTTAGTAAGCAAAGTTCCTAAATAAAGCAGTTCAACTGATCAGAAACAGTCTCTACTTGGGTACATAGTCCTTAAAACGAATAGGTAATCTGCTTTCACGTTTAGGCCTTTCTGGTGCGACTCTTAATAGGAGTAGTTGCCTCACTATGCGAATGACTTTCTTTGGCCTCAGCACCAGTGGTTGGAGTTTAAGGAACTGTAGGCACGGCTGAAGTTAATACTTGGTCAGGAGTACAAAACGATAGAAGACACATCGCGAGCAGTTCTTACTACTTTGGTGGGTCTTAGATGCACACGGTTTCTTCTGTACTTGCCGTCATCGGCACCTTCCTCTTGGTACGTATAAGGGCCTAAAATTCCAGTTACTTTGCCCCACTTCCAGTTCTGACCTTCTGTGTGTCGGTAGAATACTGACTGTCCAATTTCAATAACTGAGCGTTTGCGTGATTTCCGATCGTGATATGTTTTCACGCTGCGTTTTCGCGCATCACGTTTTCCTTTCACGAGAGTGTTCTTTGGGTTACTGCTTAAGCTTGATAAGAAACTACGTGTTTTGCGGTTAAATATCATTTGCGTCGGGCTCAAGGCAGTGTCCTGACGAGGGGTGTTTCTTTGTTCGAGTATGGCCTCATAGGGATCGTCAACATCCTTGTAAGTTTTGATTAGCAAGGATTTCATAATCTTTACGGCGGACTCTGCTTTGCCGTTAGCACGTTGATGCATGGGTGATGATGTATGATGGGAAATAACCCAGTTTGTCATGAATGAGTTAAACTCTTGACTGGTAAATTGAGAACCTCCATCTGACACGATTACTTTTGGTATGCCGTACCACGCAAAATGTTTCTTAAGAAGACTTATGGTACGGGTGCGTGTTTAGCTTGTCAGTAGATCAATCTATATGAAATTAGAGTAATAGTCCACCACAATCAACTAGTGCTTTCCTGCGATTTCAAAGAAATCCAAACCAATCTTTTGCCAAGGTCCATCGCCTTCGTTGTGTTGGTTCAATGGTTCTTGAGTGTTTCGCGGCTTTATTTCTTGGCAGGTTTCACACGAATCGGCTAGCTGTTTAATAACATGATGGGCCATGCCAGGCCAGAAAACAATGCCTCTAGCTCGACGCCTCATGCTTTCACAGCCTAGATGTGCACTATGGAGTCTTTTCTTGATAGATGCTCTCAGTTCAGATGGAATTATTATTGCTTCTCCTTTTACTAACATGCATCTTCACATTCTTTCGACCATACAAATGGGGTCTCCTTTCTAGTTAGAGCACGGATTGGTTCAAGTGTTGCTGCAAGGTTGGGTAAGAACTTTGCCATGTACTGAGCCATGCCACATAGGTGCTTCACACCTTCCACATCAGTGGTTGCTGGCATGTCTCGGATAGCTTGCACTTTAGCTTCATCAACTTTCACACCGTCTTTCGTCATTCTGTGTCCATGAAATATGATCTCATCCAGACCAGTTTGCTGCCTATCCTCATTTAGGATAAAGTTCTTCTCAGCACACCTTTTCAATGTCACTGCTAGTTTTTGCTGGTTGTCTCTCTGAGCTTTAACATCTGAGTTGCCACACCCTACAATGACTACATCATCCACTATATTGAATACACCATCGAGATCACCTAGTGCTTCATCAATCTTGCGCTGGAAAATTTCACTTAAGACTTCGAGACCAAAGGGTAGCCTCTTTCACATGTAGCGACCAAAAGGTGTAATCATTGTGGTGAGTTTGCTGGATGCTTCATCAAGTCGAACACGCCAATATGCTTCTTTTACATCTAGTTTGCTAAAGATCTTCGCATCTTCAAGCTTTGGAAGCACATCATCAAGCACAGGTAATCAGTAATGTTCACGCTTGAGTGCAGCATTTAAGGGTTGAGGATAAATAAAAATGCGCAATTTACCATTGGGTTTATGTACTACCGCCATTTGACTGACCCATTCAGTTGGTTCGGTCACTGGAACCAGTAGGCCTTTGTTTACAAGTCGATCTAGTTCTCCCTTAACTGCGTCTTGATTGGCAATAGCAACTTTCCTACAAGGCAGTACTTTGGGAGGAACACTTTCATCAATTCTGAGGGTGGCTTCGCCCAGATCACCAAGTTGTGAGGTTGATACTTGTGAGATGAAACATTCTTTATTTACGGTTATAAGACCAAGTTCCTGAATAGTGTTCAGACCTAACAGGTTTGTGAAACCATTTGGGACCACGATAAACTTTATTTCTGATTCAAAACTAGTGCGACGATTTGTAGGATCAGGCGCGTTTCTCCCAGAAGTTTCAGGTTAGTTTTATTCCACATGTTAAGGCGAACAGTTATAGGAGACACTTGCTGTTGTCTTACATGTTTCTGACAGATGGTATTTACATCAGCTGCAGTGTCAAGTTGGAATCTGACATCTACGGTGGCCCACAACTGTCAGTTCAAATACAAATTACTCCCATCAAATACAAAATCCTGACATCAAATACAAATTACTCACATCAAAAACAAATTGCTCACATCAAATACAGATTACTCACATCAAATACAAAATCCTGACATCAAACACAAATTACTCACATCAAATACAAATTGCTCACATCAAATACAAATTACTCACATCAAATACAAAATCCTGACATTAAAAAATAAGATTAAACGGTCAGCGGTCGGAGACCGAAAATTATGTCCAGTTTTCACTCGGCCTTGATCCGACCGCCATTTTGTTCCGGCACATGGTATTGTCGTCGGGATGTTTTGCAGCACCTGCGGAAGAAATGTCGACAATTGCAACTTTTGTAGCAACTGCGGGAAAGTTAAGTTAAAGCTGTAAACTAGTGGCGAACGACCAAGTAAGGTCTACGAAGAGTTCACTTTGTAACTCAAATCAGAGGGCTCGCTCAGTACACCACAGGTGACCCAATATCGAAATATGAGCATCGGCGAGAATCGGCATTGTTGCGTAACATTCTAAATATAAGGATTTGTATGGGAAAAAAAACCTATCGTTTCTGTAACCTACGAAAATGAAAGGATTTCAATAAAAAAACAGCTTACTTAAAATGTTTGTTACGTCTCTCCTGTGTGGTCCACGGGCCGATTTATGGCCGTTTTACGGGTTTTTATGTAAACGGTTTTCTCTCTACAGTCTCTTTTTCCGGTTGTTTTCTTTCTTGGGTATTGATGTCAACGGGAGCAAGAGACTGCCTCCCACCCCGGGTGTGAGTAATTTGAGTCTCAGGCCGTGTCGCTATCTTTCAACGGTAACGCGGAGTTCAAGCCGAGGTTCAGTCGATGGCTTCAGACAGGAAAGGTTACAGAACTTTGCGACCTTTGATTCGCTCTTGGTGCAAAGGCGTCTTGAAGCAAGATAACGAATGGAAAGGAGAACTATCGTGTGTTACCTAGGCAGAATTTGGAGGCGACTGGAGCAGTTGGAGCGAATTTACGGCCGTTTTCCTTCGGTGGATCAGTCGAGCCGCTTCGCTGGAGTGCCCAACCTTGGTAAACCTTCATATAGAGAGAAAACCGTTTACATAAAGTAAGTGAGTAATTTGTATTTGATGTGAGCAATTTGTGTTTGATGTCAGGATTTTGTATTTGATGTGAGTAATTTGTATTTGATGTGAGCAATTTGTTTTTGATTTTGAACTGCCAACGGTCGCGATACGCTGATTGGTGGATTTGAATCGACACGCATACCTCAAATGCCTTTGGTTGAGACGTTTGCACCGGTCATGCTGAGAAACTGGTCTTCCAACTTCAGGATCGCTTTTCTCGAGAAATTTTGGAAGGATTGAGCTCTCATTCGGATGGGGCATGGATACGTATCTAGTGGATCGGGAGCCGGTATTTTCAAAGTAAGAAATTAAATAGTTTGGCGTCAGTTCCAGCTTAAATTGGACTGGGTCAAGCGCCGGCGGCTGATTGCTGCCTGCCTTGTCTCCTTCTTCAGTTCTAACCGCCGAGGTCAAATATTCATCACGCAAAGTAGAGCTTAAAACAGGACGGGACGGCGAAAAAAACATGACACATGACTCACTTAACATTTTCTTCAAACTTTTATTGAAAAATTTGCTTTAAATTCTGCATTTTGGAACAAATTATAGCCACCGTGTTGTTCATATGTATTTCTTCTATAAATAACAAAAGATCGTTCCTCAGATTTCAATCAACAACAGCCCCCACTAACACAGGGTGGTCTGCCTGTGGTGACAGTTGTGGCCCACCGTAGACATCAATATCATTTAAAGTAAGTGTGGCAGTAACACTGTCTGTCCCATTGCTTACAGCCATGAGCCATTGATCATCAGAATCTTCCTCATTATCATTGGATTGGTTAAGTGCATGAATATTTTTGCACTTAGACTTGAAGTGGTTAAGACCTTTGCAGTTGTCAAATGTCTTGCCCCAAGCAGGACATGTGACTCTTTGTTTCTCATGTTTGTATCCACAAAATTTGCAGTTTAATTTTAACTTTTCTCTCCCTTTGTGTGAGGTTTTGTTCATTTGGGAACCTTTCTTACCATCAGGCGTTTTAGTTTCAGAGTTTTGAGTTATTTTGTTCACACTTGTAGAAGAACTCGGGAGGGTTCCACTTTCTCTGTATTCTTTGCCTCGTCTATTTGACTGTTCGATAACTCCACAAATTTTTACTGCTTTGTCGAGTGTCAAATTGTCTTCCCTGAGGAGTAATTCTTGAAGTTTTCCAGTCACAGTATATATTATTTTGTCTCTCAACATCCGATCTTTTTCCACAACATTGCACGCGGCTGCTCTCGTTTTTAGCTCCGTGAGAAATTTGTCGAACAGTTCCTGGTATGGAATGTTTTAGAATCTGTGAGATTCGATGACTTCATTGTCACGCGGGTTGCAGTATCTTTCCAATGCTTCTAAAACTCTATCGGGTTTATCTTTATCGCCATCATCTGTCCAAATAAAAGTATCGTACACTTCGAGAACATGAGGGCCTGCACAGTTTAAAATGATAGCAGTTTGTACTTTATCGTCCTTCTCTGAAGTCCAGAAGCTGCTAAGTACACTTCCACTTGCCGTTTCTACCGTTTGAAGTTCTCGGACACATTTCGTGGATATTGATAACTTGTTTATTAATATAAGTCTAGACCGCTACCTGTCGACGGACATAGGGTGCCGGGTCTGGTGAGCCAACTTGCTACATTCTATCCAGGCTATTACACTAGTACAATGGTATGTGCCTGAGGGTCACAAGGTTGTGACTAAGACGAAAAGTATGTCCCGTGATAGTCATAAGACTAACACTAGCCTATCAGATAGCCTTACGCAACTTTCCAGGGTGTATCAAGTTAGTCCGATACAACCAGCAGTCATAGCTTTTACACAAGCTTTATTACAACTATCGGGTTTTAGCCTTGAGATTAAATTTTGCCCGCCCACCCACTTCCGAGGCAGTCTTGTCTAGTTTTGTTATTGTTTTTATTGTTATAAGGGGCTATTAATTATCACTACCGTTCTAAGTTCTACCGTTTGAAGTTCTCGGACACATTTCCCAAATTCACATCTAGCTGGGGAGGAAGTCTAGACTGTCCGGTTTCTGTAGCCGTCATTTCATCAACTAAATCTCCAGGCTGCCACTGTGTTGATTTGTTAGAGTGGAGAACGAGGAACACGACAAGAGTAGAACACAACAACATGGGTTTATTCGTGAACCGCCATTACGAGAACACTTGGTTCGAAGTGAAGGATAATGGGAACTAGAAACATACTTCATGTGCGCTACAATACACTTTCAATCAACAATCTCCATAAAAGTAATTTACCAGTTTATTGTTCATAAATTTTATGTGTAAAATGTGTTTATTTAGCGAGTTGCGGCGGACAGAACTTAACAAGATCGAAGACTGCAACACCTCACCAACAAATTCATAGGTTTTTCACATAGAACAACTAAGCAAACAAAACAGAGCACGGCATTACCTGCAACTGATGTGTGGCAAACAGGACGGTTTTGTTCCGGAGGGATCCTTTAATGCAGTGCTTAAAAATGTGAAGTCCTACATGGGCATCTACTGCGCTTAACGGATCGTCCAACAAATATATGTCCTGCGAACAAAACAATTCATATCTAATTAAGATGTCTTCTTCTTTCCAATCGTCTCTAATTTGAGAAACAGGGAAGAAGAGGAGCCTGGAAAACACGGTCTCTTTAGTTTTCGTTCTCTAGTTTAGCGGCTAAACATGTTTGGAAACGATTTGCCGTCAGCCAACTATTTGCACCGTGAAAAGCACCTCTGGCGCAGGCCAAAAGTCGAACTTTTCATGAGACGACCCAAACTTTAATTTGGGTCGACCTACATTAATGTTAAAATCGTCTGTTGGGTCAGGCGTCGAACTTAAGACGTGTTGAACCAATCAACTAAACCAGACCTAAAAGCAATTTTAATACATTTTCTCCCGAATGAGGCTGAAAGTACATTATACAAATTTTTAATTTCTTAGTTTAGTTCGTCGCATGTGAAGATCGACGTTTGTCCCGCAGACGATATTAAGACGTTCTGTGTTGGACGACCAAAACTCATTCAGAAGAACTTACAGGAGCCAGACGAACTTTTAATGAACTTAACTCACTAAGTTTGGTTCGTCTCATGAAAATTTCGACGTTTGGCCTAGGCCTCCGTTAATACTATTCGCAAAACATCAGCAAATGAAACAGGTTACACATAGTCATCACCTTGTCAGCATACAATGCTCTTGCTAAGCTGATTCTCTGCTTTTGCCCTCCACTAAGGTTGATTCCTCGCTCTCCAATCTACAAATAATTACACCAAACAGAAACAACTCAATAAACATTCCCGCAGCACACAAGCTTTATCAACAAGTTTTGTTCTTATCAGCAAGCACATTCAAAGTTACACACAGCTATTCAAGCCTCCACGATTATTATCAAGAACATACCAAAGTGTCATTGATCGTTTGTTTAACAGTGTTCGGGAACAGACATTTATGGTCACCACTAGGTGAAAAATAAAACAGTAAAACTATGGGGAATTTTCTGAATTGGGGGAGGGGGTACGCCTTCATCTTAAATGGAAATATGCAGACGGCGTTTGAATAAACGACTGTCACCTGCACTCCTTTTTAATATTTTCCTTAAGTATCGTCGATTGAACAAAATATAAGGAATCCACTGGAGCTTACAAATTGTTCCATTAAAACAGAACAACCTAAACCCCAAAATGACCCAGAAACCATAAATATCTCGAAAAGGCAGGCATGAAATTTCCATTTAAAATGTATACTTGGTCTTTTTAGAGTCAAGTATAATCCCGGTCACATATCACTCAGGACATAAACTTTATCCCCCTATCCAAGATAGGCTGCAAATAAGATATATTACTACTCATTTCAAAATATTTCTCCGCTTCTGATTGGCTAAAACCCCACACATAATTCATCATAACCAGTTACTATCGACCAAATTCGGAAGAATTTTGCGATATGTAAGAAATGACGTTAATTTCGCAGCATAATTGCGAAAAAACTGAACGGTTAACCGAGAAGACCAGGGGACGAGGTTTGAGTTGTTTTGGTAGTGGGTACAAAATAACGGAACAGTTCACTCGTTTCACGAGGAAGAAATAGGCGAAGTATTGGCCAAAAACATACCAAGAACAGCAAGCTTAAGACGACATATCGACAGACGACATCCGCTATTTGGAGAATATTTGCACAACTGAACAACCCTTTATCTCGTAAACTTGCCGTTGAACTTGTACTATCGAAGATAAACTTAACGTCGATGGAGGTAAGCATGTTTTAGGTTGTTTGTAAACTAGGAATTATTTTGAATGAATAATAAAGCAATTATCGAATTCGGCTTTCTTATCATCTGAAGAATTTTGGAGATCTCGAGATCTCGGAGGGTGTTAATCAGTCTCGGAGGACAACACCCATCTCGACCTCCATAATTCTTCAGATAATACTCAGCCTCATCCAATAATTGTTAAATGTTGTGTTTATAAGTGATATATCAAATACGAGGATATTAAGACACAGAGAAGCAATATACTGTAAAGAACGCTAAAAATATACTTATAATTGTATTTTTATTCACTTCTGTTTGATCACCACTGGGTAAAATCTTCAAGTCCTGTTCCAAGCTACAGGCAAAACATGCAGCATTGTACCTAACAACAAAATTAAAATATATAATAAAAAATAGTTTTGAAAGTAGTACATGAAGTATCCGTTCTACTTGACATGCCTTTGGTATGATCACTTTGGAAGCAACTAAATAACAACTCTCTTTACCATTCAGTGTCCTGTTGCAGAATCCTATTACACCACATGCGCCATCTTACACTCCTTGCGCAAGAAAAATCATTCATTGCTTCACTTAAGTTCCAAGATGAACTTCATGGAGTTTTTAAGAAATGACCGAATATGCTCACTTCAACAGTTGATAATTTCATTTTCAGCTGTGTCTTGGTCTTCATGGGATCAGTTTTGTCATTTTCAATCCCTGAAATTGCCACCATAAGGCAAAACAACTTCCGATAATGATCGTCCTTAAAACTGATATTGATGGCCAGACGTTACCAAAGCAATAGGCGTATGTAGCGAGGAGAGATATTGTTATCATTTATGTATATGTATCTGTATATTTAACAGAATATTAAGTGTATTACCGTGCTTCATGATATGGTTTTCCTAGCAGAATGTTATCCCTTACAGTTGCATTCATTATCCATGCCTATAACCAGATAGAATTTAAAAGGAGATCATTAAAACCTGGAATAGTTTTACCTTTCTTTCAGCGGAAAGTTTGAATTTTTTTTTACTCCCTCACAAGCGCTCTGCCTTGTATCAGTACGGGTATATGTCTAGCGAAATATCACGACTTGTTACTGGTGATTCGGTGACAAAAGATTTGTTAAACATCGTCCATGCAATAGCTATCCAGCGGTTTTGAACAACAGTCATCGGGGTGCTATCATCCTGGGATATGGAAACTGGTTAATTCGGTGAAGAGCGCTATCCAGCGTTTGAACAACTGGGGCCTGGATATAACGTAATGGTCTCTGGGCCAATCAAATATTGGGCGAAAACATCCATGAGCAACAAGCTTATGAAACTCTATAAGCGATTTTTGATCGGATTTGCTATATTCGTTTAGGTGTGGACAAATACATTTTTCAGTTACTCAACTCAGGTTTTGAAATTTTACGGCCGCAATGCCATTTTAACCGATCTCTTAGCATCATAAGCAACATAAAAATCTTACTTGTAAAGCTAGATCTAAGCAGTATCAGGCCACTTTGCTGACACAAAAACGTGGCTTGTAAAAGGCACCACGCCTACAGGAAAACTACGACTTTGAAAGTTTTCAGATACATGTATTGGGGTGAACAAAGTACTATCAAAGCAAATTGTCTAATTTCTTTTCTATTTTTGTAGTTGTTGTTATCGTTTTTTGGCGACTATTGTCTGAGTATATCAGATCTGCTGAGTTTGTATGCAAACAACAAAGAAGTGCAAATGGGTCAAAAATCAGTGGAGGAATGGTACCAACCTGCTGCGCTGCATAAGCTGTTGTCCCGCCTAGCATCACATTACCCTTCTGTACCCTCATCTAACAAGAAACATGTTACAACAGAAGTATAAAGGTATTTTTAAATCAATATTTGGACTTGCTACACAGGCAGTTTGTCTGACGGATTAAGGTATAATTACCCGGCACAAAGAGACAGATCAGAGGAAACACAACAGAACATGAGCCGCCTCAAGGAGTGCCTTCACACTGGTTTCTTTCTCCAAGATGCTATTTAAGCCACCTTTACTATTTACCTACCTGCCCTAGGAGAGCCTGCAAAAGTGAGCTCTTGCCACTTCCCACACTGCCACAAATTCCAACAAGTGTTTTCTAGAAAAATAACAAGAGTCACTATCAGAGCACAATGCTAACTGTGCACTGCAGTACTCGCTATAACTAACCAACATAATACTAATGTAAAGAAAACCACAGTAAACTAGATATATTACCATAAAAACACAAACCAATCGTAAAAGCGTGTAAAAGGGCTAATCACATTCCATTCATTTAATATACCTTGTGAACTGTGAGATCAACATCGAACAGTGCTGGTTCCAACATGGTTTTGACTTCAAGAAGGGTTGGACCCCGCCTACCCTGTCCGGCTCCACCCTTCTGACCATTTTCTTTTCTTTTCCTAGCAGTATGTTTTGCTTCAATAAGCTGGGTATCTGCTGAGGTAACTAGGAGTGACAAATTGATATGTCATCATTTTTATCTACTTTATAAAATTAGGTAAATTATAAGGATTTAATACAACGTAAGAATACATCCTTTCAGCACTGACCATCATCTTGTTTTGAGCCATTTCTAGCACCAAAGCCACCTTTCCCTTTATTTTCTGCCCTTGGTTTGACCTGTAAGTATATAGGTAGCTATTTTACGTAGAGGAAAACTCTCTCAAAGCTGACTAACCTGTGCATCAACATCTTTTAAAAAACGTAACTATCACCCAAAAAAGCACCACCAAACAGAGTGTACAGCGTAAGGGCACATACTTCTTCCTTAGAGATTGTTACCACGTTAATTTGAGATCAAAGGTAGATTTCAACGATGCACCGCAAACCAAAGTGACATAAATTAAGGTGGCCCGAACTTATTTATATGCGTGTTGGTTGTGTTTCTGATTTGCGTTTTTCAGAATGAAAGATTCAACCGATTTCTATGATTTTGGGCATCCTTAATAAATAATAATGGAACTACAAGAAAATGTTATTTATTTTCTTGTAGGTATAAAAACCTTTGAGATATCGGCATATATTTAAAAGCGCATATTTACGAAAAATGTAAATAACTTCAAAATCCCTCCACAGATTTTTCCCTAACTTCAGCAAATAAGCCTAAGAGCTCTCTAGTTTTACATCTGCAAGTTTGAAGGCAATCGTGACCCTAGAACTCGCTGCACAATATGCTGGTCAAATTTAACCTTAAAATGCTACGCTAACACATTTGTGAAAGTTGACGCGCAAACAGAGGAAGACTTCCGACAGACTATCTCCTGTCTAAAAGGATATTCCTACCTAAAGCTTTATTGCAAGAAACGGAGTAATCAGAAACTTAAGGCGAATACAGTTAGCACTTTAAGAAGAACAATTTTAAGCTGAGAGCGCGGTGATATTAAAGAAACTCTATTCATCAAACTTACTTTGTATTTGTCCATCTCTTTTGGACACAAATCTTAACAAAGCAAAATATAGCGTCTACGAAAAACTGTGAAGAGGTTTTAGCGTCGCAGGTTCCCGTTTTGAAGAGAAATAAGGCCACCAACTCCAGTACTTCTAACCATCCATTTTTCAGCTGCCATGAAAACCCTTGTATTTGGTAATTTATTCACTCGCACGGGCAGTTTGCTGTTGGGGATAATGAGAAGAATAAGACGATTGTCATATTTGTCTTCATCTTTATTCCCAAGTAGTAAACTTCCCGTGCGAATGTGATGGCAAGTCTAAAAAGCTTGAACAAATTACCAAATACAAGGGCTTTCGTTGCATTATTAAGGATGCCAAAAATCATACAAATCGGTTGAATCTTTCATTCTGAAAAACGCAAATCAAAAACAACCAACACGCATATAAATAGGTCCGGGCCACCTTAATAGTGGCAAAAAAATAGGGTTACAGCGAAATTGAAGTTAATTCTACGTTCCATTACTTGCGTCATACTGAGAGATATGCAGCAAAACATTTTTATCACACACATACAAAGACATACTCACAGAAAAGCAGCCATATCATGTATTACTTTTTTTGCTCACAAACTGAGTTTTAGCCAGCTGGAGATACGAACAATGTCTTTCACATGTCAGAAAAATCGTTTCTCTGATCGGCCGTTTCATGACAGAATTCGTCGCCCTTTCCCTCGCACCCTTACTTGGTGGTTATTAAATAACAAAATCTGTTGCTATGAAATTGCGCCTAGATACAGGATTCCCCTTAAGAAAATGTGGTAATTTTTCTCTCACTTTTGACGGTCGATTCATGTTTCAAGTTTTCTTTATTTTCACTTACTAATTACAACACTTATACCAAAACTAAAGAACAAATCCACAACCCTGCTTTGAACGCAAAATTAAGTTATAACATGCTTCCTATGATACGTTCTACATTCGTATCTAGATCCAGTTAAGAATGAAACATGCACCTTGTCCCAAGCAAATGTTGCTTCTGATATTGATACAGACACCAGTGGATCTGAAGGCTTCTCAACAAAAGGTTCAAGTTCCTCCATCACCATCAAACTCTACAAAATAGACATTGACTGTCATTAAAATCAATGGAACACTGCACTGTCTCGTTTTTCACAAAACCTGACTACAAATGTGTACTCAGGAGGTTTAAAATCCAGCAAATATGTGTTGGTTGAAAATTTATCTCCAACCAGGGAGTGGTTTTCATGACAGACACGAACGTTCTCAAGAAAAATTAAGATAATAACACACTGTAACGTTTAAAAGAGGTGGGATTTCTTCCCTAAAAAGAAGAAGGGGTGAATAATTATAAATTTAAAGTTGTTTACTTAATCTGAAAAATCATCAATAGCATAATTATTGTACAGGATATGTTCACTGCACTAAAACATTAATTCAAAGATAGATTCTGGTGGAAAAAAAGGCACCAGCAACTTGTTCAGTTGCTCTTCATAATTTTTTAGGACAGTTTTCAGTAAAACATGCCAAAACAATAATTATAAGATAATCCATTTAACTGAACCGTTTTAATAGGATGAAATTTGAATACCTGAACTCTCTTCAGTGCAATCCTGGCCTCAGCAATACCTCTTATGCCAAATGGTAAAACAGCCAAAGAAAATATTATAACACTGAATATTGTTGTCACTGTGTATGCCTGAAAGCATAAAACTCTATGAATGAAATATATGTCAAATGACAGCAATAAAATCAAGATAGAACTGTTTAATACACACCTGTGATGTACTGAGATCTTTACCAGCGGCAACATGCACACAAAATGTACCCACTGTTGCCATAGTTGGAATAATTAAGGCCACTGCCATGTTCAATCCCAGGAGAAGGGAACCCTTTACAAGGGCTTTGCGTTCAGCACGACGAATAGCTGCAAAAAGCACAGGGAAAAGTTGGCTAAATGAATGCTTAAGCAATACATCACACACAACCCACGCGAGATGTTGGGGTAAGGGAAAGATTTTACGACAGTTTGAAAATTTCAAAATTTACAAGGATTTGTGTGGAAAACAACTCAACCGTGACTGAGGGCAAAAGTTTCTTCTTTCCACGAAAAAACTTTCTATGTTTTTGACAGCAGTTGTAATTGCTTCTTTAGAGATAATTATACAGCTGAAAATTGTATTTTTAATTATTAGACTTAAACATGTATTAAGAACAAAAATGCACATACCAATTACAGCCTTGGCAAATGGTTTTTCCCATGCATACATCTTGATCAGTTTGATGCAGTTTAATATTTCACTCATCATTCGTACCTGAAAAGTATAACCTTTTTCTTTAATGATGCTTAATACTTACAAATTCCACTGATACTTTCAGATCAATTATCAATTTACAAACATTTGTTTAGCCTGCGTACAAATGCCCACTCCTGTCAGTAAAAAATGGGGAAAAACAGATGAGTTTAAATATTTAATGTTTGCTCTGTACTTAGTGTTTCAGAGTGTATACTTAGTCTTATTTTTAGGAATTCAGCACACTTCTTTGTTAAAGTCACAGTGCATTTTTCAGCATGGGATAAAAGCAAAGGCTAATTTTCAATTATTAGTAGCGCCCTTTGAGATGCAGCTCACACACTGGCGTCACTTTCCAACACTTAAGCCTGGGTGATAGCAAAGCAATATTCTCCTCTCCTTTACCCCTTTTTCCCCTTTATGGTTAAACATTTTAGGTGAAACCATGCAGTGTGGACTGGACAGTAAAATTGGACCAGTCACTGGGCTAGACAGTAGACTGTGTAGCAAGCGTTTTGTAAAAGAGCACATGCATAAATGAGTGGTTAGGCCACCAGAGGAATGCAAAAGAGGGAAACTATTTTCTTGAGGCCTTTCTGCTCGGTCAATTTGAGGGAAGAGAAAATGTGTTTTCAAGTTTTGGGTCGTCTTTGCTTTCAAGTTGCCTGAGGAGCGTCATTACCCTTCTATCTGAGATTGCAACCACTTTGGAGCGGAATCTTCCCGCAACTCTACCAATGATTGCCTAAAAATAAAAAGAAAAGTGACAACAGCTTAGAACTCACTATCAACATTCATGCAGTGCTCTGTAAACATATAAAAAATTAACCAAAATGTATGGTAGTAGATAGAAAAATTCATGACTATGTGGTCAAAAAGCTTTCTGCAGGTGATGAGTAAATGAATGTTTGTACAAAGCCAGCGCTGGGGGAAGGGCCAAGGGGACCTTGGCCTCCACGTTTTGTGAGAAATAATAAAAATAATGATAATAATAATAGAGTAATCATTGAAGGAGAAAAGATGACAAAAAATTTTGAAAATGACAAGGCGTTTCCCTGCTATTGGTTCAGTGCTTTTTGCAACTGTAAAACTGTCTGAAATTTCACGGCTATTTTTTGCACAGGAGTGAGTTACCAAACACAGAGATGAGGCAATTAAAGTTTTCATTACATGCAACCTATGGAAGAACAACAGTACCACCACAACCCCCGGCTTTGCTATGCACTTGAATCCAGTAGCCCCCGCAACTTGAAAAACTGTTGTGTAAGCCTTATTGTATTTTTTTCTTTTAGGTAATACACCTTTCAATTATCTTACATATTTTACATGCATTTACCTGAACCGGGAAAAAAAGAGCAAACAAGCCACATCCTATCAAAGCAGATGGCCCAATGTAAAGGATTGTGTAGATAGTGGTGCATACAATAATCACAGGGAACGCTTGAAAAAAGTTAGAACATTAAATTTAAAATCAACAAAATACTGTTTGTTAATAATTTGCAGTAACATAGTTAACTTGTGCTGTTACTAATAATAATACTAAGCCAAGTTGTCTGATGGAGTGTTTAGGACTAATCCAGTAGTAAAGGGAACCATGCATCCTTCAGACAACTCTGCCTTGGAAAAAATCATATTTTCATTTTAAAGATCATTCTTACTATTCCATTTTGTACCTGCACTAATGATTTTTACGCGCATTTTTTAATAATTTCTTAATATTTTTAAAGTTCAGTTAGGGGACCTTTTATAGGGATAACCTCATAGTCCACCTTTTGAGAGATACAAACACAATGTCTTGACAACAGCATTCCCCATTATGAACAGTAAATAACAAGGTTGGTCAAGCTACTTTTCACTTAGTTGTACAAATTATTTTGTTCCCATTTCTTATTTTATCTGGCAGGTAGGAAACACAGGTAACAGGTCGCTGCTCTATTGATAATTATCAAAAACTCAGATACTGAACAGTTTCCCCTTAAGCATAAATTCTATTTTGGATTGTGATTATTAGAGCTAGGACACACTTTTAGCATTGTTTAATTATTTACCTTAGCATTGGGACCTGTACTCTAACCTGCACTTGTGACCTGTGACCTGCATTGCTACCAACAGGCTGTTTAGCATTGTTTGTTATCACTCATTTTAAAATGTTGTTTTGATTAACTTGATAAATAAATGTTTTAATTCTTTTCGAAATGGTTCCTGAATTTTTTGAGAACCAATCATTTTTTTATTGTATTATTAGTATCACGTATCATTGTCTCTGATAGAGCTATAAATAACACCTAAGAAATTAAAGAAAAGAAAATTCAAACTATTTGAAAATATATACAAAACAGAGATACTAAGAACATCCAGCCTTCAATTGAATCACATGTAGAATTCTCAGCAAATTTGTCCCAGGTCAGAAACTGGGAATCAGAATTTTTCTTCATACTAGGCTTCTTGAATAACATAGGGACAATCAAACAGTGATATTATCACTATTACACCTGTCAGCTGTTTGTGAGTCGCACACATGACAATAATCCTCATCTCGAGGGTGCCAGTACTTCTCATGGGGGACCCAATAATGACAAAACGACTTTCAAAGATTTCTCAACACATTCTGAAAAAATTCTGAAATTCTCAAGAAAAATAATGACTGTTCCCTATACAAAGTTCCAAAATCAGAGATTATCAAAAACGTACACAGTTTGCATGGCCTTTTCTGGCAATGAGTTTGGTACACTTTTTTTAAATTATAAATTTCTCAAAAATGCGTCAGGAAGGGCTGCAATTTTTCTGTCAATAGGGGTGAGAAATTGGTCTAAATGTGTGGTTGGGAATGAGATCGAAGTTTTTGAATTGCAGTTATATAGTTAGCACGCCTGATTATGAGTTGGCAAGTAATATTATATTCTGCTTTCACAGTTGTTCTTTATGTAGACGTGAGATTATAAGATTCAAGTCTGGAACAAAGCATCATTTTCTTAAACAATATTAAACAATAGCAAACAAAATTTCAAATCAAAGATTAAGCTTGACAGTATAAAATAATATGATCGAATCCTTATGGCATTTAGTAATTCTAACGTATTATTCTTACCTAGAACAAAGCTACTAAATATCACTCCTTGGGAGACCCTTTCAGCATCAGATGCACACAAATTCACAAACTAACAGGTGATGTGAACAAAAAAAAATGATCAGCACTGACTGAGTATGAACCAAAGATGTAGCATCTACGACATCTTTTCACTTAATTAGGCATTATAATTATGCAGATGCATTAAGACATACATGTATAAAATAAACATTAATTTACTGCTATTGTACAGAGAACAACACTATTACACAAAAAGACAAGTGAATGATTTAAGTGTACATGTAAACCATAATTTATACACATATTTTACTAAGTGTATTTACAGGAGGCGCAACACAACAAAGTACCAAGCAGTAAAATTACTCACAGCAGCCAATTTTGTGCTCAACTCAACTGTAATTCCCATAACATGCAATTTACTTAGCACTTCTAGCATTTGTTAAGACATCTAATTATTTGACCGTTATTTTAAAACCATGGGCATTTTCCACTCAAAAAAGAATTCTTTTACACTTGAGTAAATTGACACATATATAACAGTCACCCTCTGGTGGAAAATGCTGGATGCTTAAATGGGGAATGACTATGTTTGTCTTTTTCCCGCGAATTTATTATTCATGTATTTTCGAGCACGCGACTAACTTGTGGTCAGTTGATCACAAAATTTTGAGCCTAAGCGTCGATGTTTTCACTTGGATTGTATTTTCCCTTTTGTAGTTTGATAGTTCAGTTTGATTCCGTTGCATAAACAAATTTTCAAGTATCGAGTATCGTCGATGTATTTGTATTTGCTCTTGAAGGAGCGGTGAAAGGAAACAGTGGGTTAAACAAGATTTACTAATGACGTGTGTTGGTAGTTTCGAAAACGAAGACCGAAGCACGAAGCACCCAAATCTCGAAAACGAAGCACCCAAAACTTGAAAACGAAGTACCCTAGATCGAAAACGAAGCACCCAAAACTCGAAAACGAAGACCCCTAAATCTCGAAAACGAAGCACCCTAGATCGAAAACGAAGCACCCAAAAACTCGAAACCGGTCTGTCCTTTATAAACACGAGACCAATGCTAATACAGCAGGAATCAAGCACGATAACGAATCGAATTCTCCTGTTCCCCACCATAGAGCCTGGTCCCAGGCTATTACCCTAGAACAAATTCTGCCTGGATCTGATCTGATCTGATTACGCAGTGTCATAGATACCCAATATGTCAGCGGTGTATGACATTTGCAGACTGCAGACTGCAGACCGCAGACTGCAGACTGCAGACCGCGGACTGCAGACTGCAGACTGCAGACTGCAGACTGCAGACTGCAGACCGCAGGCTGCAGACTGCAGACTGCAGATATTTTTGTGCAAAGTTACATTGGCCTCATTCCCAAAATGCTGTTGGCTATTCTTCACCGACCCTTTATCATCTCACCCGGCATATCACTAATTGCATTGATTCTTCATTCTTCTTTGATTATCGTGAATTGATAATGACAAGTAGCAACGCCCTGTCTAAATAGTAGTCTTCTGTAAAAAAAAGTTTTTAGATTGCGAGCCGCTTCGTAGGATAGATCAACGACATTTAACACCTTTTAAATGACGTATTTCATCTTAGAAGTATTTAGGGATATGCCAAATAATCGAAAACAAACAGATCCTATCTGGACTCGACGAATTCCCAGTCCTAGTACACAGGTGGGGCCCCCGTAGAATAGGGATTCCTGCGCTGTTTCACAGACAGACTTATAGTTTAGTTTCGTCTGTGGTGCAGGCTAAATTGCTAGACTGTTGCTATGGATTCATGAGCAAGTTTGTGACATCGGCAGACATTATTCTACTCTAATTCAATACGAAAAGAACAGCCAACAGCTCCTTTAAGAATGAGGTCGGTGTAATTTGCGTGAAAAATATAAACTTCGCTTCTAGGCCTTACTTTTCGGAACAAGGTAATGTTGATGATGACGCCACCTTTATTACGATATTTTTGGTTTCATTCAATTTACAGTCATGCTGCCTCATGCAGTCTGCAGTCTGCGGTCTGCAGTCTGCAGTCTGAGGTCTGCAGTCTGCAGTCTGCGGTCTGCAGTCTGCAGTCTGCAGTCTGCAAATGTCATACACCGATATGTCAGACTGCAAAACAATCGGTTTTTTTTCTCAAAATCAGTAAAGAAGTCGGTAAAGCGTGGCGTAAGAGTAATACGCGCGAGCCTCACACTCCGTTTTCAGCCTCGTTTCAGACCTTTTGTGTTACTGCTCACGCGTACTTGAATACGCCAAAATCTGCTGACGGACAGTTTTGAAGTCTACATAAACATGTATGTGTACCGAAAAAATGTATATTAAGGTAAGATGTATCAAGTTTAGCAAGACTAATCTGACTAATAATAAAATTAATACAGGATATCCTGTCTAGAAACGTTCACTGAAACAGTTGGTTATAAAACCTTGGGATGGATTTTGTGGACCTTTAGAGGTGCGGACGCATCCGCTGCCTCCACCTGATTCGGATTGCGTCATGTAAGACGTAAGTTGCACTTATTAAACTTACAGTGGTTTCGAGTTTTGGGTGCTTCGTTTTCGAGATTTAGGGGTCTTCGTTTTCGAGTTTTGGGTGCTTCGTTTTCGAGATTTTGGGTCTTCGTTTTCGATCTAGGGGTCTTCGTTTTCCAGTTTAGGGTGCTTCGTTTTCGACATTTGGGTGCTTGGTGCTTCGGTTTTCTTTTTCGAGTGCTTCGTTTTGGAAACTGCCGACGTGTGGACTAGAAATTTGTACCCAGTGTGTGATCTTCTCATCGAAATACATCACAGACTGGAAAAGTTGTGTTCCATTTTAACTTTCAAACTGGAATGTTTGGCTACCACGAGCATCATTTTGTAACTGGTTAACACTAAACAGGGGCTGTTGGGTCTAAAAATGCATTTAATGCAAGTAAAATAAGAACAAAATGGAAAGACAAGGCAAAAAACTGGGGCTCGCAAAAAAGGGAATAAAATAAATAAATGTTGACGGCACATGCCTGTAACTATATTTACAAATAATTTATGTGGGCCTGCAAGTTAGAGGCCAGCGGCATTCCGTTTTTTGATAGTAAACAATAACATCAATACTATTAGACGAAGTGATTTTATTTGAAAAAAAAAATTAATTTGCAAAACTTACATCAGGGGCGTAGTCAGGCATTTTTTTTTTTTAATAATGACGATGATTGATGATGATGATGATGATCATTATTATTTTCTTTTACTCGTTTATAAGGCACAAATTTTACACATTAAAACTAAAAGCACAGCATGCACACTACATATGAATTTTAGATAATAGTAAGAATAAAAAAAATACAATCCAGACATCTAAAGAAGGAAAATATTAGGTGTACTGATAAAAGGCTTGTATAAATATGTTTGCCTTTGTTCAAAACACTATTTTTCCTGATATCAATATTTTGGGCCAATGTCCAACATAAATAGTAACTTGCAAAATCTGTCATTGACGCTGTAAAAGTGCACATTTTTTAGAAAATGGGCACAAAAGGGAAAAACTGTGTGAACAAGTCCGCTTTTTTGTGAGAAAATTACTGATAACTCTTTCCCACGAGTCAATGGGCATCTCTTATGCATGCAAGAGGGCTAAGGATGATTTTTGCTGCGGAGCGACCGTAGGGAGCGAGCAGCAACATAATCAGGATTTAAGGGAAATATATAAGGTGGAACAAATTCTCGAATTCATCACTTTTTACCAGAATGCATTGTGCTGCGAACAACTCAAATGAGCGTGCATCGATCGTTTGCTGCCCAGACTTAGAGTTTCTTTGTGGCAAGTTTTCTACAGCACGATTAGGTATTGCCAAATTTAAGACACGCAGGAGTCTTTCAGATGAGTACGATGGTTAACTTGGGGATTGGATTTCAATTCAAGAGCCTTTGACTCGTCCAGGCTTTAAACTTGACGAGAAGATGAGCATTTGCTCTTTGACTCCGCAACACGGGGGATGTACAAATTCCAGCTTGCTAGGAGGTGATGTGAAAGAGAGAAAATGTCATGCCATGCTATTCTTAAGAACCTGTATGAGCCGAAAGGGGATGTGATTTTGACCATTAGCTTTAAAATAACAGCGGAAATCGAGATAACAAAACATATGTTTTGCGTCCAATTTTACAGACAAGGACGTGTATCGGCGTTTTGCCATGGAATATGCGTTTACATTGTTTTTTTACTGCTAATAGCTCGGTTAATGCGGCTTGATCATCTTGCCGGCGGAAGTTTCATGGAAAAGGAATAAAATTTAAAACTTTTCTCCACGGTTATGTAATCGCGTCGAGCCGAAGGTGCTGGGTTCGAGTCCTACTCAACTCTTTTTTGCCTTCTTTCTTTTTTTCCCTCTTTTTGTGTTGTTGTTTTCTATAAATATATCATAAATAACTCTTATTTAATAAAGTGCAATAAACAGCAAGAAAAGTATCGTGTTTCCAGAGAAAAGATAGTACACCGGATATTAAATACCCTTATATGGATAATCAATCTGAATTTCTATCATTTCCTACAATTTACTGTGGGAAAACCAGAGTTGATAACAACTTGATCATTTTCTAAACAACATTCCCACGAGTTCTTTCTATAGACTGATAGTAATTGTTACTTTCCAATATGTAAATAGGACATTCAATATCACTTTCGATTCTTTTAAGTCTCACTGCCTAACTAATTCCAGTATCAACAGAATGTGCCGCAGCATTACTACCTTTTAGATACCCAAGCATAATATTTGTCCAGGGAGCCCACTTGCCTTAGCGGTTTTCAGTGGGGCCCGGTAAAGAATAAATGACAAAATGAAGAAAAAAAAATTAAACGCTAAATCACCTTCTTAAAAAAATCAAAAACTAAGAAAATGTAGAGATAAAAATTGGTATTTACATGTAAAACTAATTTAAAAATAGTTTAAAGATTGGATTAGGCATTATTACAAAGTTTTAATAAGCTTTGCCCTGAAAAGGGACACTTTTTGTTGTTTTTAATGTCATTGTCTAGGCTGCTCCAGTCTTTAGAGGCGTGAAAAATAAAAGTTTGCTTGCCTCAATTGGTACGCACACAGGGAAGGCGTAAATCATTACTTTTGAGAGTTTGATAAGAATGAAAATCATTATTGTGCCTGATGTCAAATTCAAAATCAATTTCCCCTGACAGATATTTTTGTATCATAACACACCGATGGAAATGTGATGTCCCCTTGAGGAGAGGGTCCAATAGTTCTAGTGCCTCGGTTGATGAACTTCTTGATGATAAATTAAACAGAACCTTAGCTGCCTCGTTTTGAAGGACTTGCAGCTGGCCCATAAGTGTGTTGTTATTTTTGTCACCCCACACTGTGTCTCCATAGTCAAACAGTGGGATGATTAAGCAATAATTATTGTAGTAGTGTAAGCTTAGCATGTAAAGGTAAAAGATGTCGTATTCTCCTTATCATTCCAACCTTTTGATTGATCTTTGTACTGATAGTATCAATGCATGTGCTCTGACCAAGACACGGTTTGGTTTATATCAACTCCCATGTACTTAAACGAGTCAGACCTTTTAATAGCGGTGGAATTTACTTTGCCGGAAATTTCATTGACCAGTTTAAGCTTCTGTGAGTTACTAAAATTACGAAATTTCATTCGGAAATATTTAGGGTTAACAGGTTACTCTAAAACCATTTGGAAACTGTAGCCAAATCAAAATTTAACTTGCTTTCAAGGTCAAACTGATCAGTCGATGAGTAAAAAATCACAGTGTTATCAGTGTAAAGAATAATTTCGCTGGCAAGCTGACAGATGGTAAATCATTCACATAGATAAGAAAGAGAAGCGGTCCTAATATGCTTCCTTGTCCTTGTGGGATCCCAACAGTTATTGGTGCAGTGAAAGAGATATCTCCAACAAACGTCATTTGTTTTCCGTTCGTGAGGTATGACTGGAACTTAACAGTGTCACCTGAGAGACCGACTGATTTAATCTTATGAAGTAAAAGGTTGTAGTCAACTGTGTCGAACGCTTTCAAGAGGTCCAAGAAAACAGACCAGAGTCCGTGTCAAGAAGTAAGTTATTTGTAAAGTGATGACGGTCGATCTGTTGACATCAAGGCTTACATGTAAGTTTTTACCCCCCTCGGGGTACTTAATGATGATCTTTGGCTTCACAAGCTGTGGCGTCACAAGCATCTCTGTAACTTTCTAATGACACTATAAAAGCATGCAGAAAAAAAAAGCAGAGGGCCCAGGATAGACATCCTAAGCAAGGGAGTCTGGGAAATGCTCATAGATAGCGAAAAAGAGACACAACGGAACAACATTAGTTCAAACAATTTAGGCAAGAGATTCAGAATGGATAAAGTAAATAGCTCTCTGCGAACAGCAAAAGGTGTTGCCGACAGCAGACTCTTGTTTCCAGAATTGCCCATTTTTAGTTCAATTGAGAAAATCATTTAAAGAACACCTGATAACCTACACTTATTTTTGCTCAAATTCCTGTTAAGCTTGGGCATAATGGGTTTAAGGCAGCTATGTCACTGTACATGTACAAAATAAACTACTTAGCCCCAGCGCACCTCCAGACTAGCTAATCAGAGTGCAGGAAAAGTACCATTAATTATTTTACTGGCTTTGTGTAGTACATGTTAGGTAGTATTTTATCTTGACTAGTATTACTTGCCTCTCCAATTGATTTGTCCCCAACATTTCTTAATGTTGTCACCTTACTATAGACCATTGTAAGTACCATGGCTCGAGCCCTTGCTGCAGTACGGATATTTGTAAAAAAACTTAAACAGAGCAGGAGACTTCTTGTTACTTCTGCCAAGAAAAGTCCAATAACCTACGCATATAAAATACAAAATTAACTAGTTGAAGTAAACCACATTTTTTGGATAGAGATGCCAAACCAAAATAATAAATTATTATTAACAATTCATACATTACTTGCTTTAAATGAGAAAGTTACTCATTACAAGCCAAAAACAATCTTGTGTAGAAATCTAAAAACCATCGACCTCGAGCTATTGACAGATGACCTTTCAAACACTCCCTGGCATGTGGGTGATATATTCACTGAAATCGACGATAGAATCGATTACTGGAAAGGACTAATGAATTACATAATTAATTATCATGCACCAACTAGGAGAAAACGGATGTGGGAAAACGACGTCCCATACATGACATCAGACTGGAAAAAAGCCTTTCGAAAGAAGAGACTGTTTGCGAAATTATACACAAAAGACAAAACTGAAGAAAAGTTCGAGCTTAAGAGGAAGTACAGAAATCTGGCCACGAAAGAGTGCAAGAAAGCAATTAAACAATTCTGGAAAATGAAATCGGAAAAGATCAGGGAAACCCAAGGGACTTCTTCAACACTTTTCAGCCTTTCATTAGCAAGAAAACTGCTAAGAATAATCCCATCACTCTGAATGTAGATGGAAATGATACCGAGAATGATGCGGTCGCTGTTGCTAATTGTTTTGCGGATTACTTCGCTAATGTAGCACTAGATATCGGAGGGCAACTGTGATGTACATGATATGCTTGAGGAGGATCACCAACATCACACCAGCATTAAGTCTATAAATAGAAAACATCACGATGCAGCCCTAGATCTCAACTTTCAAGCAATTATTGAAACAGATGTGTCGGATGTTATTCAAAATATTAATCGTAGGAAATCGTCTGGCTGGGACTCTCAAACTGTACCCATCCTCTTTAAGAAAACTGCTTCAGCCATTGCACCATCTGTGGGGGCCATATTCAACCACTGTATTGCTAAGAGATTCTGGCCCACTAAGTGGAAAATGGACACCTGTATTCAAAAAGGGAGACAAACAAGCCAAAGAAAATTATCGCCCGATTACAGTACTCCCATTATTTGGCAAAGTGTTTGAGCATCTACTGTGTACACAAATTACTACGTACTACGATCGTATCCTCTATTCAAGAATGACAGCCTATAGAAAACAACATAGGTGTGAGTCCACGTTAATCGGCCTCGTTGAAGATTGGAGGAAAGCCCTTGACAGTAAGAAGGTTTACTTGTTAGCAATGGACATGAGTAAAGCTTTTGACTCCCTTCACCACTCTTTAACCTTGGCCAAACTCAATGCGTGTGGTTTCAGAGACAGTTCTCTGGATTAAATGCGATCCTTCTTTTATGGTCGACTGAACAGGGTCAAAGTCAGGACAGCCAAAAGTAATATTTGGAAAGAAATGAAACGAGGCTGCCGACAGGGTCATCACTCGGTCCTTTGCTGTAGAATCTCTATCAGAACGACCTATCCTATCAGGTCAGTAACGCCAACTTAAACATGTATGCCGATGACGATCAGCTCTTTTCTACGGGGAGTAATGCCTATAGCATGAAGGCTCGCCTTGAGTCGGAAGCCGCTAAAGCCTTGACCTATAGTATAACGATAACTATCTTATGGTCAACCCTGATAAATTCCAGTTGCTGATGATCAACTCACAGAATGATAAGGATCAAGCTTCATTAACAATCAATGCACATGTCATTGAAAGTACTGCTGACATCAGCCTTCTGGGAGTTAACATCAACGAACACCTTGTATTTAGAAAACACATTAGTGAACTGTGTATAAAAGCTAGCAAGAGAGTGGGCGTCCTCTCAAGATTAAGAAATCTGATCCCTATGGAAGCAAAATTGCTTTTATATAAATCCTCGATATTGCCATATTTAACATATTGTCATCTTAAATGGCATTTCTGTAAAGCCTCCGACGCCAGAAAAGTTGAAAGAGTTCAAGAGCGTGCCCTTAGGATCGTGTATAACACACATTCAGTAGAGTACTCTAATCTTCTTAACCGTGCCAATCTACCTAGCCTACAAAATCGGCGTTTACAAGATCTTGCTACCTTAATGTATAAAGTTAAATATGGTTTGGTACCTAGTAATGTCGTTGACATTTTTAGTGTTAAGTTATCCAAATATGACTTAAGAAATATGGACTTTCATTTACCCAGATTTAATGGTGTACGTTAGGGGAAACACTCCATAAGGTACTTTGGAACATATATATGGTCTAGATTGGACAGCAAAATCAAGGATAAACCTACTTTACAATCCTTCAAGTCCAGCATACGGCGTATTAACCTTGTGGATCTTATAAGTGAAAATTGTGGCTCCTGTCTTGTAATACTTGAGAATTTTTAAAAATATTTTAAGCATTTTTCTGTGTATTTTAAAGGGGATAACTCCGTAATCTTTTAACTTTTACATTTTTACCTTTTATAAATTTTAGATTTCAGAGAATGATAAATTCACCATATGATACCATGTATAAACTCATTTTATAATTTTTTTCCTTATTATTTTAGTGTCCCCAACACATCGATACTTAAATAAAGTTATGTTATGTTATGTTAATTCTCGCATTATATAAGGAGAGGTCTGGAGCTTGGAACAAAGGATAATCACCTCCTCGCTCAAGACAACACAAACCCTTTCAGTGCCCCCTTCCCTCCCATTAATACTAACTCCTCAGCCTCTTTCTTGTATTTCCATAAATGAAAGTTTGTATCAATAATTCATGTATTTACCTGGATATTATGAGTCTGATAATATTTAAGTGGCATATAACAAGCAGATCTTAGCACATTATTATTTTATTTTGGCTAAGTTTGTTCTTTTTCAATTCGGCTGGGGAATTGAGAAATAAATTATTATTAAGTTATTAACAATAACTATTCCTCGAGCCCGAATGGCCTCTGAGTCAATAGCCCATGAGGCCGAATGGCCAAATGGGCTGTTGACTCAGAGGCAATGAGGGCGAGAGGAATAATTGTTTTAGTAAAATCCAACTAGTTGGTCAAAAATATAGAGACAAAACAACTTTAGCTAGTTAAAGCTAGACTTTAAGCCTTTTTTTGCCGCCGAAAAGCCGGCGCTTTGTGCTACGAGTGGGAAGGAACATATAGCCTAGTAATAGCTCAACCAATCAGAACGCATCATTGATAATAGTCCACTAGTTAGTTGGATTTTACTAATTATTATTATCCACAATGACAGCAGCAAGGACCTTCAGAAGTGTACAACTAAGAAGTAATGAATGTACGGGTTATTATGATGGTTTGTTATGATGCCACAGCAAAAAAAAGCGTACAGGAGTCTAAAATGTCATCCATCTGTTCACCCCACCCCCAACGGGCAGCAAGGCAAGAGAGACATCTGAATTCCCAGCATTATAATGCCGTCCCGTTACGTCACAGACTTTGGTAAGTTCATGCTGATTGGTGTAAAATACAAATCATTGTTACCTGCCTTTGTGACAATAAAGTACTACTTGCGATTGGCTACAGACGGTTTCAGCAATTCGTTTGTAATAAACTGTTGACATACCAAACACGACTTATAAGCTCACGATAGTGTGAGTGATAGTGTGAAACGTGACCTTTGGTTTGCTTGAACCGAGGACTTCCTTCTTCTCTTTCTAGAGCGAAGATTATCCAGTACATGGGGTATCATAAGCTTTGACCGAAAAAATCTCATTTTTGTCGACAAATCTTATTTTTGCCACTCTGAGTGTCACATTTAGAGGTCATGAAGCTGGTCTGTTTCATGCATATTGAGTAATACGTTCCTGTGGTGTATGTTTCTGTAGGTGTTTCTCACAGGAATTGTTCACAGATGCAGTTTGCCACTGATTTTCTATTACCTCACTTTAAGCCTAAATTTTCTTATCACGGCTAAAGAAACTTTTAAAAAAGATTTTAGTGTCTCTGCCGCGCGATCACCATGCAGATGTTTTAAGACAAGAGCTCTACATTTCAAGGTTAAAAATACACCGTTAAAAGACAAAAAATGGAAAGAGAAAGTTCAAAAGAATGCTCAGCTTTCTTTTTGTGGAGGAAGGGAAGCTTTTCATCAAGAAATCGTCCTTCGAGGAATTCAATCTTGTCTTCTTCACGACGGAGCGCATGGTCTGTTTTGAAATGCAACCAAGGCAGTGACGTTTTTGCTGAATTTCAGGTACATTTTGCACTCTATGGCCAAGACAATTACGTTTTTGAAAGGGAATTTATGTATTTTTAAATGTTTCTGTCATGATTATGTTAATTAGAATAGTTTAGCACACATTAGTGTTTCCCGTGGGCATGTTCACTGATTTATTACTAAATGGTGAGTCTTAAAACATGGCACTTGTGTGCGTGTTGTGTTAGTGACTAAACATTATATAGTACCAGGAGTTAAAAGATGGAGTTTTTCAAGCCTCCGAAAGCTTTCTCGCTTCATGGGAATCTTCGTGATAACTGGAGATGGTGGTTCTAACGTTTTGACCTGTATTTGAAAGCGTCGGGAAAGATAAAGGAGAAAGAGGATGTTCAGTGCGCGATTCTACTCCATGTGATCGGCAAAGAAGCGATGGAAATCTACAATACTTTTCAGTTTGCCACCGAAGAGGATCGTACCAAGCTTGACGTTTTAAAGTCGAAGTTCGAGGAGTATATGAACCCGAGGAAAAACAACGTGTTCGAAAGATACCGATTCAGGGAGTACAAGCACCAAGAAGGTGAAACCATCGACCAATTTATAACTGAACTGAAAACACGTGCAAAGTCCTGCAAATTTGGCGACCAGTATGACAGTATGATTCGCGACCGAATTGTGTTTGGTGTAAGTTGTAGCGTGGGGCCTGAGCCCGAGTTGGGTCGGACATGCGCAGTTTAGGAGACCTACGACTCGTGTAACTGTTGTGCTAGTTTAGTAAAGTGATTCGAACGCTAGCTGTGTTAGTTTTGTTACATTTGGTGGCAGCGGTGGGATTTTTGCCATGGAAGATACTGTGAAAGCTTTAGAAGAGAAAGTAGCGCTCCTCGAGGCGAAACTTGGAAAGAAAAGTGAAAGTAAGGCTGGTGCAAGCGGCAGTTCACCGACCACGTCGCCAGAAAACCCGCTTCGCATCAAACCGGAGAGCTTCTCTGCGACGTCCAGCGAAAGTTGGGTAGTTTGGATACGGAAATGTAAAAGTATTGCAGCCCTTAACAAGTGGAGTCCTGAACTTCAATGTCAAATATTACCCGCGTACCTGAAAGGCCTTGCCGAACAGACCTATTACAGCCTGATTACCGAACAAGCAGCCACGTGGACAGCCGTTGAACGCGTTCTGACAGATCGATTTCATCCTAAGGAATCTCGTCGGGTACACATTTCCTCTCTACGAGCCAAATTAAGACGTCCTGACGAAAATCTACATCAACTGAGGTGCGACATTTCTCGTCTTGTGGAGCTGGCCTATCCTGATGACCCCCCGGATATACTCAATCGCACGGCCAGAGATTTCTTCGTGGGTGCTTTGACCCCTATTATATTGGGAGAGAAGGTGTTGGATTTGGGGCCCAATACTTTGGATGAGGCCCTAGCGGCAGCTCAGCGATATGAATCAAATCAAAAAGTGCTAAACAAGGGAAGTGCTCGAGTACTGTCTTCAACATCTGGGGAGCAGGAAAAGTTTGGCTCCCAACAGGGCACCCAAGAACCCCCAGCGTGGGCTAAGGAGCTTTTTCAGTAGCAAGCTGAAATCTTAGAGAAGCTAAGAATATTCCTCAATGGAGGCAAGGTAGGAATGAAGGTGTAGAACCTGGACAAGGCCCCAGAGCATGTTTTAAGTGCGGTAGCCTGTCTCATTTTATTCGTGAATGTCCACATCAAGTCCGTCCCGACCAGGGAAACGGGAGATGGGCGGGGCGCAGCCGAAAGTGACCCCAACCGAGAATCCAAAGGGAGCATATTTGCCTTGTGATGTCAATGGTGTTAAGTCCCAAGCCTTATTAGACACAGGTGCAGAAGCAACAATTATCAGTGAAGACCTATACAGTCGCTCTAAGACACATATCAACAAACTTGAGCCCGCACTGAAGCCTGTCCTGGGAGCCAATAACATGCCACTTGATGTGGTTGGAGAAACAAAAGTAACAATTCAGCTGGGCGCAATCAGGGCTAAGCATAAAGTGCTGGTGTGCCGAGGCTTGGCACAGCAAGTGTTGATTGGTATAGATTTTCTAACAGCTCACAAATGTATCATTAACTTTGACACTAACACTGGCTACAGTAAGGAGGGACCCAACAGAATCGTTTTTTGGATGCCTTGATAGAGTTTACAGGATCACTGTGGCCGAAACCGTCACATTATCTCCAAATATGATCGCAGACATACCTTGTGAGGTCCAAGGGGTAGATGACTTAGACGAATGTATGGGTGTACTGGAACCAGCGGACAAGTTTTCCGAAAGATATTCAGCTGGGGCCTTTCGGACGGCCGTGACTGTGAAAGGAGGTCGAATCCCAGTTCGTGTGTTCAATTACCTTAACAAGCCCCTCAAGATTTACAGGTGTAGCAGTATGGGGGACCTCTACCCATTAGCTGGCGAGGAGGAATCACAGGAGGAAACCAATGTGGGTGTGGGCTACAAGGTGGTACCCCCTGTGGCCTCAAAGGAAGATGTTGAGGTTGGATTGGAAGCTAAACAATGTGGTGCGGTTTTTGTGAGGGACGCTGACGTTCACAGTTTATTGGTAGAAGAGATGTTCCCGATCAGCAGCGATTTGGTCCCGGAAGAGGAAAAACTTAAGCATTATGAGGTGTTGTCCACTTACGCTGACTGCCTTTCAAAGGGGCCGTGGGATTTAGGTACTGCAAAGGGCGTACAACATACCATCGACACAGGCTCTTCCAAGCCAATCCAGGTACCGCCAGGAAGAGTTCCCTTTCACAAAAGGCAAGAAATGCGCAACCAAGTGGATGAAATGCTCGAAGCAGAGATTATAGAACCGTCCGATTCCCCTTGGTCCTCTCCGGTGGTTTTAGTAGCAAAACCTGATGGCAGTCAACGTTTCTGTGTGGACTACCGCGCTCTTAACTCGGTAACCAAGCGAGACTTGTACCCGCTTCCTCGGTGTGATGACATATTGGAGAGTTCATCGGGGGCACAGTGGTTTTCTCATCTCGACCTCCTTAAGGAATATTGGCAAATTGATGTGGCAGAGGAAGATCGGGAAAAGACAGCGTTCGCAACTCCGGATGGTCTTTACCAGTCTTTAGTCCGTTTTGGCCTTACGAATGCACCTGCATGTTTTACGAGGGCTATGCACCCTATCTTGAAGGGTTTATGCTGGTCAGACTGTCTAGTGTATCTAGATGATATCATTGTCTTTGGTCGAACACTAGAGGAGCATAGGGAGAGACTGTCACTTGTGTTGTCACGCTTGACAGAAGCAGGCTTGAAGATTAACCCCAAGAAATTGTGTGTGAACAGGTGGTTGTGTTAGGTCACGTCGTGTCACGGGAGGGTATATCTACTGATCCAGAGAAAATAAGAGTCATAAAGGAGTGGCCGGAGCCAGTTGATGAGAGTCAGCTGAGAGCGTTCTTGGGGACGGCTGGTTACTATAGACAATTTGTGCCAAACTACGCCCAAATTGCATCCCCTTTGCACCGCGCTTGTCAAAAGGGGGACCGTTTCAGATGGACAGCTGAGTGTGAGGAAGCTTTCCAGGACATCAAGCACAAATTGTCGAGTGCTCCCATCCTGGCTTTTCCCCAGCTAGACGTACCGTTCATCCTGGACAGTGATGTCAGTGACAGTGGGCTGGGGGCGGTGTTGTCGCAGGTTCAATGTGGGAAAGAACGTGTAATAGCATACGCAGCGCGTGCTCTATCAAAGGCTGAAAGGAACTATAGTACCACCCGGAAGGAACTGTTGGCCCTCGTGTGGGGAACGGAGCACTTTGAGACATTCCTTTACGGGCGACGTTTTCTGGTCAGGACTGACCATAGTGCTCTGCAGTGGCTACGGAACTTTGAAAACCCTAGAGGCCAGGAGGCTAGGTGGCTTGAAAGGCTTAGTGACTTTGATTTCGGTGGAACATCGTCCGGGTCAGTTGCACGGCAATGCAATCGGCTAAGGTAGAGAGGGACGCCACCCTGATTCAGTCTGTGAACATGGAACCCTTGTCGAGAGAAAGTATACGTGCAGCCCAAAACCAAGATCCTGTTCTGTCGCAAGTTGTGAGGTGGCTTGAAACTGGTGTCAGACCCGCTAGAGGCGATGTGGAAGGAGGGGGGCGCAAACTTTTGTCATACTGGTCACAATGGGGAAGGCTGTTTCTCAGGGACGGTCTGGTGTTTAGACGTTGGGAACACGAAGTGACAGGCGAAGAGATTTATCATCAAATCTGCTTGCGCGAGAGCGTCGTGTCACAAGTGTTGTGCGCCTTGCACAACAATCCTTCAGCAGGCCACCTTGGCGTCTCGAAGACTCTAGAAAAAGTGCGGAGGAGATTTTATTGGCAAGGCATGCGGGAAGATGTCGAAATGCACGTGAGAAGGTGTGTCCCATGTGCTGCAGTCAACGACCCTTGCAAGCTTCCAAAGGCATCCCTTATAAACATTAAGGCAGGGCACCCCCTACAAAGGGTTGCAATAGACATCGTAGGTCCCACACCAAGATCTACCTTTGGCCATGAGTGGTTGCTGGTGGTCTCCGATCAAGCCTTCCCAGTGAGAAACACCTCAGCAGTCACGCTGGCGAAGAAGGTAACGGATGAATATGCCGTTTCGGGTGTTTCGAGGGTTTGCATTCTGATCAGGGAGCCAATGTGGATGGAGCTGTATTCAAAGGTCTGTGCGATTTAATTGACGCAGCGAAAACAAGGACAACGCCCTACCATCCCCAAGGGGATGGGCAGGTAGAGAGACTGAACAAATCTCTGGTGACGATCCTTAGTAAGCTGATTTCTGACCATCGCCGGGACTGGGCGGACTTTGTGCCGAAAGCAGTTCTTGCTTACAACACTAGTGTGCATGAGTCGACGGGATTTACCCCTTACCGCTTAATGTTCGGCAGGGAAGCTATTCTGCCATTGGATGCTCTCCTTAGGCTTGAGACAACACCTTCCCAAGGGTCGGCACGGACATACCCTGATTATGTTGTTGAGCAGAAGCAGCAATTGGAAGAGACGGAGCAGATAGTGAGAGAGAACCTCAAGCGAGCGCAAAGGTCCTAGAAAGCTTATTATGACACCAAGTACCATGGTCAGCGGTTCCGTGTAGGAGACCGGGTTTGGTATAGAAACCGAACCAGGACGAGAAGGAAGAAATTTCTCAAACCCTGGTGTGGTCCTTGGAAGGTGGTGGAAGCTCTATCTGATGTTACCTATCGCATTGAAGAGGAGAGGCGGAAGCCGGGAAAACGTCGTCAGAGGAAGGTGGTCCACTTCAATTATCTGAAGCCATTCTTTTCGCCACCTGAAATCCACGAGAAGCCCTCACAGTTAACCTCTTCCAACCATGCGGAAGATACGCCACAAGCGGACAACCTGAGGGACAGGCAGCAACCGTCTCGAGGAACCTTAGTTGACTCTGGAGATGTCGAATTGGAATGGCTGGCAAATCCAGTTGCTACAGTCACAGAGTTTTCTCATCCCTTCCATGAGCGTGAATCTAGTGGTGAATCTAGTGGTACATTAACTACATCCCCTCGAGCTGCTGACCTGCCGTGTCAGTCTGAGGTTTCTCAAGTGAGTGATGAACCGCGTCGTGAACCGTGTCATGCTGCGAGGCCGAGACGTGAGCGAAGGGAGCCTGTCTGGCTACGAGACTATGTTAGAACAGTTGTTGTTTACCCAACCTGGCCCTTGAACTTTGTAGGAACATTTGCATGCTTAAGTTGAAAATTCTCTCTCGTACTTCGGACCTTATGTTGGAGGGGGTAGTGTAACCTGGGGCCTGAGGCCGAGTTGGGTCGGACATGCGCAGTTTAGGAGACCTACAACTCGTGTAACTGTTATGCTAGTTTAGTAAAGTGATTCGAACGCTAGCTGTGTTAGTTTTGTTACAAAGTGATACTCGACTGAAAGAGCGTCTTCTTTGTGAATCATCTGATCTTACACTGGAAAAAGCGGTGGACAAGTCGAGTCAGAGGAATTATTTATCGGGACATTGACTGGCCCGCGAAGTGCTGAAAATTCAGTTTGGTTTTCCAATTTGCTAATTGGTGGAACAACAGTTAAATTTAAACTGGATACCGGAGCTGAAGCCAACGTATTACCACTTAGTGTTTGCTCTAAACTCAAGAACAAATCCCCGCTGCTAGAAACAAGCGTTGTTCTTTCATCGTATGGAGAGTGAAGGTGAAGCCTGAAGGAAAACTGAACTTAAGCTGTAAGATTCAAGGAATGGAACAAACTTGCGAATGCTCACCGAGATATGATAATTATGGTACAGTGAGATAGGCATAGAGGTTTAACTCATGATTTTTAATCAATTCTCGTGCATTTTCTTTTTTAGAGTTTTTAATTCTCGGCATGATGTACACTCAGCTGGCTAGGGACGTTAAGTGACGGGAATCCCTTCTTCTTTCTCCCCGTACCAAAATCATCATATCTTGGTGAGCATTCGGAAGTCAGGCAAGCGCGGTCATTGCACGCGTGCTGAACAAGAATGCTGTATCATGGCAGACTAGAAACAACAGAAAACTCCCAAAGCACAAACTCAGCCAAAACGCTAAAAATCTTCCATGTTTACTCAAGATTGGGCTTATGGAAGATAATGTCACAGGTTTTCAACAACCATGAAATTCAGAATCCGGGTAGTTAGTTAATCAATTGTGGCCCTGAAAAAATTGGAAGGGAAAAAACTATGGATTTTTAAGAAAACGTTTTTTTCGTGAGAAGGACTCTTAAACGCTGACAAATGTCAATAAATAGCTAAAACTATAATTTCTATATGTTTGCATTACTCGAAATTGCGCACATTTACAAGGCCCTAAAGCTATTTGCTGACTTGCAAGGACCCATCTGAGAGATTTTCACGAAAAAATGCCGGCAACAGCAGAATTTCGATTCAGACACAAAAGAGGCATGGCACTTAAACTACGTGACATTTACTCCGATTGCCAAAAATTTTATGCTATATTGTAGATTGATCTATACGTTATCCATGCTATATGATAGACTCACGATCAAAGTAAAGGTGGGGATACCAGAGAGCTTTAAAGTAGGATGGTACCCCCACAAAATAACTCGGTCGAGTCACCTTAAATCTCGACAGAAGGGTTGAAACTCTTGCCCAGTCTCCGCTCACTAAGTCTGAAATTATAAAGGAGTTCTCCGATGTGTTCTCTGGGGTGGGGCGCATGGGAGGCGAGTATCACATTGAATTGGATGACAAAGTCGAGCCTGTAATTCATCCACCTCGCAGAGTGTCATATAGCCTGCTGGAGAAACTAAAATTGAAACTTCAAGAGCTAGAGGAGAAAGATGTTATCCAGAAAGTGGACATACCCACTCCATGGGTTAACAGTCTGGTCATTGTAAAGAAACGTGACGGATCGTTGCGATTATGCTTGGATCCACGAGATCTTAACAAGGCAATTCGTCATGAGCATCACAGCATCCCAACAGCAGAAGACATAGCAAGTCACCTGAGTGGCAAAAGGGTCTCCTCTATTGTTGATGAAAAGGATGGCTTCTGGCAGGTGCCCCTAGATGATGAAAGCTCTTACCTCTGCACGTCCAGTACGCCTTATGGCCGTTATCGCTTTAAATGAATGCCCTTCGGCATGAAGTCCGCCCCAGAGGTCTTTCAGAAGAAGAATGAATCCATATTTGGAGACATTGACGGTGTGGACGTCATCTTCGATGACATCATTTTTGCTGGTGCACATGAGCAAGAACATGACCAAATCATGGTCAAGCTGTTGCAAAGGGCCCGTGAGGCAAACGTCAAGTTCAATACAGCTAAGCTTCAGTACAAAGTCAGTGAAGTCAAGCACATGGGAAACATTGTGTCTGAATCAGGGCTGAAACTAGATGGTAAGAAAGTGCGCGCCATAATTCAGATGCCCTCGCCTCAGAGCAAAGAAGATGTTGCAGAGATTCTTAGGAATGGTCAACTACTTCTCCCAGTTTATTCCCAAACAGTCGGAAATTACTGCACCATTGCGACAACTCATAAAGAAAGAAGCAGCATGGACCTGGTCGCACGAGCACCCACAGTCAGTGGAACATCTCAAAGGAATCCTGTCTAGCCAGCCTGTTCTAAAATTCTTTCATCCTACCAAGCCAGTCAAGCTGCAAGTGGATGCCTCTAAGTCAGGTCTGGGAGCATGTATCCTCCAGGATGAACACCCGATAGCTTACGCATCAAGGTCCCTTACACCACCTGAAGAAAATAACTCTCAGACCGAGAAGGAACTTCTCGCAGTTGTCTTTGGGTGCGAGAGATTCAATCACTATGTGTATGGCAGACCAGTTGAAGTGGACTGAGACCACAAACCACTTGTTCCAATCACAAAGAAGCCATTGGTTAAATCCCCTCCAAGGCTTCAGCGTCTACTTTGAAGACTCCAGAAGTATGACATCAGCATTACTTATGTGCCTGGCAAGTACATGTATGTAGCAGACACTCTCTCTAGAGCTTCGTTAAATAGGAAGTCTGCGGATAGTGAACTGAATGATGACATGGAAGTAGTGGTCCACAGCCTTCTTACAAATCGTCCACTGACAGTAAAGAAGCTCACACAAATGAAATCTGAAACAGCTCAACATGAAACCCTTCAGGAGTTACTCAAAGTTGTCAAGAGTGGTTGGCCCTCTCACAGAAGTAAAGTACCGTCGCTAATTACTCACTACTGGCATTGCGTGGTGAAGTTCATGAAGTTTAAGGTTTATTGTTCCTAGACGAGAAGCTTACTATTCCACAAGGGATGAGACAAGATGTGTTGAATTGCATTCATGAGAGTCACCTGGGTATCGAGAAATGCAAGTCAAGAGCCAGAGCTGTAGTATATTAGACTGGAATGTCTGCAGCAATTGAAAGAATGGTTGCCAAGTGCTCAATATGTCTCAGGCACCAAAGAGAAAATCAGAAGGAGCCCTTACTACCTCAGGAAGTGCCTCAAACTTGGTGCAGACATATTTGAACTGAACTCTAACTCCTATTTGATTGTCTTTGACTATTACTCTAAGTATCCTGAACTTTGTCTTTTAAAAGACAAGACTGCTGGTTCTGTTATAACTAGCATGAAATCCATGTTTGCCCGTCATGGGATTCCTGATCAGGTTGTTGCTGATAACATGCCCTTCTCAAGCAAAAGTTTTCGTCAGTTTGCAAGGGATTGGGGTTTTGCTGTCTGTACCTCGAGTTTTAGTACCCACAGTGTAATGGGATGAGTGAAAGGGCAATTCAAACCATTAAGAACTTGTTCAGGAAAGCGTTTGAACATGGAAATGACCCCTACATAGTTCTACTTGAATACAGAAACACTGCTATTTCTAGACTAAAGGAATCACCCGCACAGCTGTTAATGAGCAGAGTGCTGAAATCTAAATTGCCTACGTCTGCGTCCCTTCTCAAACCGAGAGTCCTTGAGAAAGCACAAGAGAAGATGAAAGAACGGAGTGAAAGGCAGAAGATGTACTATGATTGTAACACGAAACCGTTGCCTCAGATCAAGGAAGATGACACAGTTCGAAGTAGGAAAAGAAAGACTTGGGAGCCAGCCATTGTATCTGAAAAACATACAGCGCCTAGATCCTTCATAGTCACAACACCTGATGGCACTGCCTATCGACGAAACCGTCGTCACCTGCAGTCACCAAATGGGGCCCCGCCGGTGATCACAGGTCCAGCCTATGATGACCCAGTTGCACCTGTTGCTGCCTTCACCCACAGTTAATATTACACCCCCATTTGCTGCTAGCAATGCTGAGTTACCTGCTCTAGGTCTAACCAACGGCAGAAGTGATTTGCAGACACAGAGCGTACTTCCAGTGGCCGGACTGTCAGATTACCAGCAAGATTTTGACAGGATTATATCATGAACTGAACTATGTGTAGACAAGAACCAGACAGTAGAGTCTTTTTTGACTTTATTAGCTATACGTTTTACCCCTTACACTTGTACAGAAGGGATGTTTGTTTGATTATGAACTAGTTCCAGTTGAGCTTTTCTATACATAAGACTTTAGTGACAGCATTCATACTCAGAACAGTTAATCTTAAGTACAGGGAGTTTCCACAAACGTTGTCACTTGGAAGAGAAGTTTGTCTTTTCTCCTTTGAAGGGGAGATGTCATGATTATGTTAATTAGGATAATTTGGCATACATTTGCGTTTCACGTGGTCATGTAAAATCACTGAGTTATTACTAAATGCCGAGTCTTAAAACATGGCGCTTGTGTGCGTGTTGTGTTAGTGACTAAACATTACAGTTTCATAGACGTTTTATAAATTTTTCTCTTCGGCGCTAAAGAAAAATTACAAAATGTGCCCCGATTTGAGATGGATTTTGTGTTGAATTTTGCCATGTGCACAGCCGATTTCACTTGCGTGAACGTATCCACGATCTAGATAGTGTTTTCAGAATTGCTTTAAAGGATTAACTTTTTGGATTGTGAATAAAACTTTTCAAGAAACGGCTTCTCTGTCTATTGCTTTGAGTTTGTTCATTCATAAAATTAGCTCAAAACACGATCGTGACTCGTGACTACCACATCCAAGCTGAATTTAAGCTTAAATGCTCCTCACATTCATTACATGCATCACTTTTTGCGAAGATGTCAAGTTCACGTTTTGGACACTTTTTGATACGCAGCTAATGAATTTTATTTGATAATATGTTTTACTGTTTATTCTAGTCTTTTAACATAAGAATTTTAAAAGCCTATTTGCAGTATAAGTTTACTGTGCAGAGGGTCAACGGGGCATCCTTTTTTGAAGTGACAACTTCAAGAAGTTGCGACGACGTCAATGGGTTTCATAATGTTACGTTTGGCCCGGGTGGAAAGACAATAATATCCTGCTTAGTGTGTTTCGGTAAGATTCCTGGTTTCAACCTTTGAAAGCTTTCTTGGCTTTCGGGAGTTTTTCCCCCATTTGTCCGACAATTTTCTAAGTGGATGCGGGAACCTGAAGTAAAATTACATCACGTTGTTTACGAAGTTTGATTGGTCAGTTATCTCTTCTTCTCGTTCCAAATATGGTGCTTTCGAAAATGAATAATCAAAGCAAACATATGCGAGTTACACGTTTCAACCCCTTATGGATTTCTGATATAGTTCGATGCCTGTAGTTTTTGTCCATAAATATGAGGATTCCCTGCTATGTTTTGATGCTAGCTCATTTTGTTTTGTTTCCAGGATATGGAATTTTCTTACAGACAGTGATCTTAAGATCTGAAATGTAGCTTAAAGGGTCCTTAAACTATGGAGAGTCGTCCAAGTCAGTCAAGATCATTGTTTACGCACTGACACAGTCCGTTTTGTTTTCGTTAAGATGAGTGAGTCTTTGGTCTTCCTCCTCTGGTCATTAATTTTAGTTGAACTAAAACAGGCTATGCAACTGTACTGGTAGTGCCACTTTGCTCCGGTTTAACAGCACATAACGCAAAAAACGCTTGCCGCAAGACTGAAAAGCACAGCCGGTGTATTGGCCGACATATCTGTTGACATTTCGGTCGACACTCGACCGCAAGTCGGCCAAGACGTACACTGACATGTCGGTCGATACATGGTCAATAGAGAGTTTTAGATCCGAGTTTACCGCGAACCTCTAACCGCGGTTTGCGGTTACCCGTTTGCGGTTCGAAGTTCAAACATAATTCGATTTAGATTGGCGGTGGTTTAAAGAAGTGGATTCCGGTTTATTTTTCCATTTAGAAATAGAAGAAATATCAATCAGTGAAAATGAAAGAAATTTACAATAACACTTGGTTATCTAGCAGCAAAGAGCTGTAAATTCTTACATTAGTTCTTCTTGCAAATGTACGGCCACCATTTTGAATCAGCAGCCATGAATGGCACTCGTTTTCAAGATCCTATAGGATTTATCAAATTTAGCATTTCCCCCGAATGTGTGCCTCTGTTAATGGATAAAGACTTGCTCCACAAGATTTTTGTGTCATAACGTGAGATAAAACAAGAATTATAGGCTAAAAGCTTTCAGGTAAATGACCTACGTGAAAACCTACTTCCCCACGTTGAAATCGCACGTCGTAAACCTCAAACGTGACGAGAAAGACTTGTCACGTGACCTTCAGCGGTTAGAAGTTCGCGGTAAACTCGGATCTAATCTCTAATGTGCCCGTCGACACTCGGATAAGGGGAGTGTCATGCAATTGTCAGCAAAATATCGGTCCACTGTCGGTAGAATATTGGTCGACTATTGGTGGCACATTAGTCAACTGTCATATAATCTAATGGGGGAGGTGGGTTTCAGTGTTATAGTCTCTTATTACATGTAGACTGGTAAAAGTCGCCAAAGCCCCTTAAAAATTGCTGCATGGGCAACGTTACTGCAAAAATTTGAGTAGACAAATAGTATACCATCGACTAACTATCAGTGAAGTATCAGCCGAATGTCGCTAGCCTATCGATCAATATGTCGGCCGAGTATTGGTCAACATGCCAACCAACACTGCACTATCGGCCGATCTGTTGGTCGACTACATGTATCGCTCGACGTATAACTTTAACTAAGCGAGACCGATCATTAAATGTGGTATCGCTATTTCATTGATTTTCAACAGGGTACTTCAGTATTTGCCACTTTTTCTTACGGTATTGCGATATTGGGCACTTTCCAATGTCCCCGTCCTTACCAACTGTTGAGGGAGTGGGGCAAAGAGACGGATGACATTTCAGACTAATAAGGACGTAGCTGGCAGCTGGCAGATAGTATTTAACACCAAAAACCTACCCAACCAATTCCTTCTATTTGTGATAATGAATCCTTTTCCTCTACGTACTCCAGAATACGTCGTACAAAGATTGCCTATAATCATTTTGCAAGTAATGAAAATACAGATAGAAGATCAGTATTTTAAGTTCAAAGTTTAAACAACCTTCACCTAATAATTGAAAAAGGAATTCATTTCTTACATTTCTTAATATCGCTGAGATAGCTGGATGGATAAAGCTAAAGGGGTTTGAGTATCGTTTTCTGAGGCATGCCGCACCGACAGACAATCCAGGACCATGTGAGACATGAATATGAAAACAAGTCAAGGACATCTTATTTTTTGAATGTAACCATTGTCCAAAAATACAGTAGTCTGAGACATATGCATGCTACATTCAAAGAATGCAACTGTATTTACCTTTTTTATTTTATTATGAAGGAAAAGCCATTTGAGACATGGTAGCTCTGGGCCTGAAACAAATGTTTGTGTCCAGAATGGGACACAAGCTCACCACTCATTGATGCATCTTTCCAGACATTTTCATACATCAGGTCACAGGTCGCAGGTTGCAACTCTCAGGGGTGCTCATACAAACAAAAGCAATCTCATAAATTATCAATGAGAGATGTCCCGAAACTCGGAAGAAGCGTTGCATGATGACATGTGGAAGAACTGCTGTGAAGCAGACTAACCTCAGCATGCACCTACCTTGTATCCAGCTGGAGGGATTGACACCAAGACTCCTCTGTAACAAGAAGCTAAGGGACAAGCTCACCAGAAAAATAAAATGGAATCATCAAAACCTGCAACCTGGGTGACCTGTGACCTGCAGATAAGACCCACCGGTAGATGGTTCAGTTGTGTCCAAAAGGACACATCTGGAACTCATCTATGTGATTTCTTCTTGGACATTTTATGCATCTGAGACCCTGGACTTGTGGTTAGATGGATCACTGATACAATCATTGACCTCATGCATGAATGCAGAAGTCAAGGAAATGATTAAAAGGTTCACAGCAATGCAAAGATGAAAATTAATAGCAAAGAATGAGCACAAGGAATGCAAGAATACACACACAAAAATTGCCTGATGGATGTCATCTGCTTTTTGAGGAGTACGACTTCGGTAAAACGAAATCTGGCTTAAGTAAACATATCTTGCAAGTCCCTTAACCCTTCTAATTCTAATTATTATTTGAGCTCTCTTAGTTAAGCCCACAATGTTTTGTTGAGAGCTCAATCCAGCTTAACAGAAAATATTGACAATAATAATTATGATAATACAATAATGCAATAATTGTATTACTGTAAATCTGTGTATGCATGGGGAGAAAACATTGATAAATAAAATAATCATACGAGTTTCCACTGTACATGACAAGTACACTCTTACTTTGTTAGGTCTAGTAGTTCAAGTTACATTAATAAATACATGTACTTACAGGCCCCAAAAAGCTGATCAGTTGAGACAAAATAAAGAAGAGAATGGCAAAAAAGATTCTAGTCCTGATAGCTCTCCAAAGCACCATTGACATGTTTGCTTGATGAAGCCCTAGTTTGCTGACTTGCTCATTCCAAAGCCGAGTTCCTCGACTGAAATTCACTTCAGCTGACTCATAAGGAGAAAGTTTATCAAAATCATCCAATTGTAATGTTCTCTTGAAGCTTTTAGTTATCGCTGGAGTTGCCCAACTCATGAACATCAAAGACAAAAATCCTGCTTCATCAATAGCAGGCTTGGATGGGTCCCTATAAAGAAAGGATAAGACTTTTGTTATCTGTTTTAATAACTCAAGAAAATATTAAAATTTTTTGTTGGTTAAAACTTATTCAGGCTTTAGCCTGTCGCACCTCCAAGAATATTATTCTTGCAACTCAGTAAGAATTTCTTTTGTTAAGTTTTGTTTTGTTTAACAGCAAAAGTCTTCAACAGAATTTTGTTACACATCCCACGCTGTTATTTTCTGATCACTTTCAATTACCTGAGACTTTAAACCCCTGGGTGAAGAGGGACAAAGTGGAGTAAAGTTCCCTGTCTAAGGAAACAATGCGACGGGCAAGGCTTGAACCCCAGACCTCCAGATCCTGAGTTTGAGGTGTTAACCACTTGGCCACATACGCCTCCATGACTACCCCAATATGGACTTCCCATATGATCTACCTTTTGAATTGACTATCATGGTAGGTACATGAAGTAACTTTCTGTAAAGTGATTCAAAAGGTAGAACATATGGGTAGTCCATCAGGGCAGCCCATGAACTAGGGGTTAGTATTTTTGTCATGGTTTAATGAGGTCCCTCACTTGTAGACACAAAATCTGGGTATCCCCCCCAAAAAGTTCAGTTTGGTGAGTCGTCTTAAAATAATTTTATTTTGTTTCAATCTGATTAGCATATCAAAAACAGGCGACCTAAAAATTTAAAACAAAGATAAAATTAAACCACAAAAATAATTTTTGTCCACTATTCCTTCCATTTTCCCGTGATGGCAGCCTCACAACTTAAACGTAGCTTACACGTAGACATTGGAAAATAATGATTTATTATTGTAGTTTGAAATTGAACAGAGAAGCTGTCTTTGGTCTGATACAAATCCCTTCTGAAATGACAAAGAAAGGCATACAATTTGATCTCATTGTAGTGGAGTTGATAAGCTACTATGTACTGTACAGTGCTTGGGCCCCCTGTGGTCACCTGATCCGATGTTTATGTTACAGGTCACATTTGAGTTCAGGTTAAAAAATTTTAACCTATAGTAGATTGATTCCTAATTTCCTTTGATTTCTAGGCCTGAGAGACATTGAAAATTGAGAATCAACCTTCTTAGTTAAATCAAAATTAACCTGAAATCAAATTTGACCTGTAACAATTATAAGGTGGATATAACAATATCCACCAGATAAACCTCTTTAGTAAAATCCAACTAGTGGTCTATTATCAATGCTGCATTCTGATTGGTTGAGCTACTACTAGGCTATATGTTATAGCCCACTAGTAGCCAAGAGGTTCGAGGAATAATTGTTAAATAGTAGACAGATAACACAATCGCTTTCCTTAAAACTTTTTGGCTGGATTATTGATTTATGAAGAGAGAATAATGGGATAGAGAGGGAAACACCCAGTCTACTGAGCCATTGGGATATGTGAATTACACCAACATTATTTTTAGACCAATTAATCACTTGAAATTAATCAAAAGTTGGTTTTCCGAAAAGTCCCCAAAGGTTTATTTAGTGTTGTCAAGAGAGAATTCAATAGTACAATATTCTGCATAATTTGTTTGCTTTGGAGCAGTTGCGCATGGACTTGATGATATTTCAAACAATCAATTGAGATGTGCAGACGTCCCAGGAATTACACTTTTGTTAAATTACATGTGGACGGAGCCTCTAAAAACATCTCTAGTGAAGTTTACATATCGCAGCCAACCTCCTGAGATTCCCTCTCTGTCCCATATTATTCTTTCTTGGATTTGTCCAACGGATAGCACTATCCACCAATTGAACAACCACACCCTGAACTACAAGAGGACAATCCATCACGAAAGTTGCCACAGAGACACCTCTTTGGCTTAATTTTTTGGATGTGGCTCTTATTAAATTATTCAAACCACTAGAAGGTGCAACACTTAATTAACAATTATTGGATGAGGCTAGGTATCATCTGAAGAATTATGGAGATTGAGAGGGTGTCAATAGGCCTTGTCAGATGACACCCTCTGAAATCTCATTAATTTTATTTTTCATCTGACAAGAACGCCCTTACAGCAGCTGTCAGTCTCGCTTGCTTGAACATTAGATCGGAAAATGAGGTGATTAATTCTACACGAAACAGGGTTTACTCCCTAAAGGTCTTTTACTTCCTACTTTATCGACGTCAATACTTTACACTTGTTTATGAATTGATTTAGTATGCGTGTTATAAGCGATGACCGGAAATACGTCTGCAGTTGCAGGCTATATATAGTGTATAAATATACGAATATTCAAAGGCCTTGATTCCTGAGAAATTACATCACTGCCAGAGATCAAAAATTGATTTACATGGCACATCATTTTCCAGGCATCTCAAGCTCATGTTACGAGTTTGTTATGTAAATTAACTTTCTCACAAGAGAGTTGGTGTTGCGTTACAAGCGATTTCTCATACAAAGTCTCAATGGTTGCTTGTAACACAACACCGACTCTCTTGTGAGAAAGTTAATTTCAATAACACACTCATAACGTGAGCTTGGGATGCCTGTGGTCATTTCAAAGTCTATAACACCCGACCATAGTAGTTTTGCTAATTAAGATCCTTTTTTTTTCAACCACTCAGTAGTGTTCACTTGTTCCAAAGTAATCAAAGTTTTGAAGCAATAGAATTCAAGGACCAACAATCTTTCCTAAGCTTTCTTTGCAAAACATGGGTGGCTTCAATCGTGCAACGATTCTTAATCCCAGTTTCCACAGTCTCTGCAACGAACCCCTGGCACAATGACCCCCCTTTTGTGTCCTAAATATGATCAAAAATGTGTCGCTGATTATGAGTCTCGCTGCTTACGCTAGGGAGACTAATAATTGTTTATTATTCATTCAAAATAATCCCCAGTTTGAATACAAGCTAATACATGCTTACCTCCATCAATGTTAATAGCCTGCATGGCAGGTGCTTGGAAGAAATGGGTGCAAGAAAGAATGAGAGGGAAAAAATGCAAGGACAGAGGGAGTGCCTTCCCAAGAGGCCCGTGAAAATTGATTCCTGCCCCTAGTCCAATTATCTAGCGACTGCTGAGTGATCTGTCAAAAATTATTTTGAAAGAAAATTATCCAGATTGACCTTGCACAAACAAAGCATGTCAAAGTGTGTTGTATTTTTACATCCTCACTCTAACTACCTGTTATAAAGATCAGCTACATGATCTGATTATAAAGTGATGGAGCAATAAACTGATGGCAAACACACAGCATTAAATTGTTTTTAACCAAAGGCACGACAAGTACAAAAAAACAGAGTAAAAACTGGATATGTTAAAAGAATGCATACTGTGTATTGTAAAAGGCTTTTGCTCTCTGAGATTGTGATATCACAACTGTACCTGTAGACACCAAAGATCACAGAGTATGTGAAAAATGATCATTGCATTTGTACAAATTGGCAGCATTTTATGAGCAGACATGTCTTACTAAACGGACCTAAAGTTCAGGATGCAAACTGTACCAAAACCTTTTTAAAGGCTACAGAGACAAGACATCAACATCAGTCATCAGGTCACAATTTGAGTGAATAATATCAATAGTGAAAAGTTTTTTGAAATTTATGCCTCTAGTAAGTGTTTCATTTCATCAATCCTGTCCATGATGGTATGCGTTCCATCGACAATGCAAGCCGCTAAGTTCTTTTTAAACAAAGAATATTTCCTCTCATCATCACTTCAACGATTTGACAAATCTCTTGTCTGTCATCGCTTCCGTTAACGGGTATTTGATGTCAAATCGTTTCTTTGTGAATACCATTTGATCATTCCATCTTTTCTTTGAGCTGCAGCCACTTAGTCCCATTGAATTAGTAACCTCCAAGCTCTGATCTTCAATCATACCATTTAGTGATGTAACAAGACATTCACTGCCTTTTATTGTACTGCATGTTTACAAATGATCTTGTGTTTTCTTTGATTGACATTTTTCTCGCCTAATGTAAACACAACATACCGTACTTCCTCGAATAATAGCCGTCCCTGAATTAGTCGCCTCCCTTGAATAATCGCCCCCCTTTGATGGAAATATTAAACAATTATTGGATGAGGTTTTTGCAATATCCACAATAATCAAAGTCGAGGTTATCAGGGGGTTATCAGGGGTTATCAGCCTCAGCCTTCGGCTGAGGCTAATAACCCTTACCGAGACCTTGATTATTCTGGATATCACAAAAACCGAATCTAATAATTGTTTTCTTATACATTGAACGAATCCTTTCTTTCTTGCTTCGACATAAAATGTATGTTTTCAAAGTTTGTGCCAACTCTCTTTTTCCCTCAGGTTCTCTCATTTTTTTCTCTTTCATGTAATCAGCAAACTGCTTCTTTGCCACCTTTGTCGGCCTTTTTGTGTTTGTGAGTCCTTTTAATGTCTTCAACCACTTTTTCGATGTCTTTCTCAGTCAACGAAGCAAACCTGGAAGTCATGTTTCAGGGTTCTCAATAGAAGGCGGCACCCGGCGATTGATCGCCGCTTACTTTCAGATTTATAGCCGCTTACTTTGTGTTTAAGTCGCTTTTCTTTGCTTTGTTTTGACACCTCTGGCTTTGCTGAAGAGCCTCCTACTTTATCAGTGATCACCTCCTACTTAAAAATCTATTGAGAACCCTGATGTTTTTGCTTCTTCACTGACAATTCACTGTACGCTTTCGGCCAATCAGAAAAGAGAAAGTGAGTTGAATGTATAATAAAATTAAAATAATCGCCTCCCTTGAATAATCGCCCCCCCCACCCCTCTCGCCTTCTTCTCTTTCTTTAATCCCGTCCCTGTCACGTAGTCCAGCAAAACTGATCAATGACTATTCAAGCTCTCAAAAATAATCAAGGAACTAAATTTGGAACAATTAAAAAGCCCATATTTGTTGTGATAACTTTTTGATTTAACAGGATAATGAAAAAAAATATTTAGCTCACGAATTCCAGTGAGTAATATTTGAAATAACTGCCTCCCTCGAATCAGCGCCTTAACTAAAATAATCACCCCCCTTTGATGTGAGAAAGGAATAATCGCTCCGGCTATTATTCGAGGAAATACAGTGGAACCCAGCTCTACAGAAAGCCGCTTAATACGGACATTCTGTGTCCCGAGTCACAAACTCTCATATATTGTCAGCCCTGCTTTATGGACATTGGTGATCTGCACACTCTATTTTCACCGTCACAATTATGTGATAATTGTAGACATTGTACCCTGTTCAAATAATGACAGATTTTTACGGGTGAATATTAAAAATTTTATTACAGTACTAAAAAAACTGTAACGAAGTAGCGTGAGATATTTGATTTTGAACAGTCTGTCTTTCTTCCGGTGTTTGACTCTTGTACTACGTATAGTCCTTCAATAAAGTTTTCTGCCTCCTGTTACACACGTTTCACTTCCTTGGCTTTTTGTTGCAGTCATTGTTCTTAAAGTAAAGTCACAGACTTTTTCAAATGAATCCACTGTTGTGCCTGTTTCAATACTTAAAAGATTTTAATCTGCAGCTGTACTCTGAGACTATGATAAATGATCGTGAGGTTTCTTTAGGATGAACTTGTTACTGTTACAGTTAAGAAATAAAATGTTTTCTCGTAAAACTGTCTGCTAGGGTCTTTATATCGATAAAACATGTTTTCCTGACGTTTTCTTTGACAGCCCGCTTAATACGGACACGCGGATAATACGGACACTATGGCATGTCCCCTTGGTGTCCGTACTAACCGGGTTCCACTGTACAGTAACTTCCCTCAGGAGCCTCTTAACCAATAAGAACTTTCAGCACTCGCAGAAAGCAAGAAAAATGATTTTCATGGGCCTCTTGGGCAGGTGCTCCCTCTCCCCTCGTGTGTCTCTCTCGCACGCCCTGTTCTTTCTTGCACCTGTCACCTCCAAGCACCTGCTGTGCAGGCTACGATGTTAAGAACGCAAGTTTAGGAGATAAAGAGTTGTTCAGTACTGCAAATATCCTCCAAATAGCACATGTTGTCCAACAAGATGTCTTGTTGCTGTTCTTGCTATGTTTTTGACCAATAGTTTGCCTTTTTCTTCCTTGCGAAACAAGTAAAATGTTCTTTTTTTCTTTTTTAATAATTATTTATTGACAAAAAAAATAATTACAAATACTTGTTCTTTTAACTAATATATATATATATATATAGAAATAAGAAAAAAACTAAATTTGTAAAAGAAGATTGAACTAAATTAAAAGGAAAAAGACGCAAACCTAAAAAGTGAAACAGTAAAGCAGTAAAGTGTAGCTTAAAGGAATAAGTATTATGGAAATGACACTAGCATTCACATATCTAAAGAAGTTTGGCCCATGTTTTTTTGAATTGTGATAAGCGGTTAGATCTAAAAGCTACGGTGCCAAGAATATCAATTTTGTTGTTGAGACGCAGTAGAAAACTGTCAAAGTCCAGGACGCTGTTGCATACCCTTGTAGCAAAAACATTATATTTGGCGACAATCAAACAGTGATTAAGCACTTCCCAGTTATTTGACTCTTTGCACCAACCATATAAAATAGTGCTTTCAGATAAAGTCAGTTTTTGATTAAATTTTTCGTGCCACCAGTTAGAAAAACAAGTCCAAAACGAAGAGGATACACTACAGGTAATTAACATATGTTTTAGAGATTGACTTTTAAGGTTGCATAAAGGACAAACATCAGTATCAGTTATGCGCGCACGGAAGGTAAAATAAAGGTAGGTAAAATACTGTGAACAACTTTGACTTGGAACATGATCAGTTTTGGTTCTTTCAAGATTTTGAATGGGAGCATGTAGATGTAAGGAATTTCCTCTTTGGAATTGGTGAACCCATGATCTAAAATTCTGCCTTCAGCAGTGGGTGCTGAGAAGCTTTTGTGAAGTATGGAAGAATAGGCTTCTTTTGTGGAAAAAAGCTTCAAGGATGTTTCGCAGTTTTCAGATTCATCATGCACGCCTGCTTTGACTCGAAGTGCACTTTTCCATTCAGTTAGTATAGGTCTTCAAAGGCCGTAATAAGTGGTAAAAGGAAATTGAAAGTTCGATTTCTCTTTCATTTCTGATAAAGTAAGAAATTTAAGGTTAACATTTAAAAGGTCTTCGATGCAACAAATTCCAGTTATACACCAGGGTTTAATATAAATTGGTTTTCCATCAATACATATGTTACGGTTGTTCCAAATTATTTGTTTTTTAGTGGAAATTTGCTTGTCACAGGTTAGTCTTCTGAAGTCATGCCAGTAATTTAAAATGGTGTGGTAAAACTCCGGAAGGTTCTTTAAGTTGAGTAGCTTCGGATTGTAGTCGCAGTAATAATTATTTATTGACAAAAAAAATAATTACAAATACTTGTTCTTTTAACTAATATATATATATATATATATATAGAAATAAGAAAAAAACTAAATTTGTAAAAGAAGATTGAACTAAATTAAAAGGAAAAAGACGCAAACCTAAAAAGTGAAACAGTAAAGCAGTAAAGTGTAGCTTAAAGGAATAAGTATTATGGAAATGACACTAGCATTCACATATCTAAAGAAGTTTGGCCCATGTTTTTTTGAATTGTGATAAGCGGTTAGATCTAAAAGCTACGGTGCAAAGAATATCAATTTTGTTGTTGAGACGCAGTAGAAAACTGTCAAAGTCCAGGACGCCGTTGCATACCCTTGTAGCAAAAACATTATATTTGGCGACAATCAAACAGTGATTAAGCACTTCCCAGTTATTTGACTCTTTGCACCAACCATATAAAATAGTGCTTTCAGATAAAGTCAGTTTTTGATTAAATTTTTCGTGCCACCAGTTAGAAAAACAAGTCCAAAACGAAGAGGATACACTACAGGTAATTAACATATGTTTTAGAGATTGACTTTTAAGGTTGCATAAAGGACAAACATCAGTATCAGTTATGCGCGCACGGAAGGTAAAATAAAGGTAGGTAAAATACTGTGAACAACTTTGACTTGGAACATGATCAGTTTTGGTTCTTTCAAGATTTTGAATGGGAGCATGTAGATGTAAGGAATTTCCTCTTTGGAATTGGTGAACCCATGATCTAAAATTCTGCCTTCAGCAGTGGGTGCTGAGAAGCTTTTGTGAAGTATGGAAGAATAGGCTTCTTTTGTGGAAAAAAGCTTCAAGGATGTTTCGCAGTTTTCAGATTCATCATGCACGCCTGCTTTGACTCGAAGTGCACTTTTCCATTCAGTTAGTATAGGTCTTCAAAGGCCGTAATAAGTGGTAAAAGGAAATTGAAAGTTCTATTTCTCTTTCATTTCTGATAAAGTAAAAGGTCTTCGATGCAACAAATTCCAGTTATACACCAGGGTTTAATATAAATTGGTCATATGTTACGGTTGTTCCAAATTATTTGTTTTTTAGTGGAAATTTGCTTGTCACAGGTTAGTCTTCTGAAGTCATGCCAGTAATTTAAAATGGTGTGGTAAAACTCCGGAAGGTTCTTTAAGTTGAGTAGCTTAGGATTGTAGTCGCATTCGATGAGGAACTCTAGACCTCCATATTGGTTAAGAGCTTGATTTGGGATTATTTTCCACGATGCATTACTTGATTCAGCGATACGCTTTATTCAAGCAATCTTTAGCGACCTCTCCATGATTTCAAAGTCAATCATTTTTAGGCCCCCGCAGTGTTTTTCACCAATGATAGTCTTTTTCTTAATTTTGGGAGGCTTACCCTCCCAAATGAAGCTGAAAATAATCTTATTAATTCTGTCTATGAGGGATTTAGATATGGTCAGTAAGGAACTGCAATAAATGAGTTTCGACAAACCTAATGTCTTGACAATATTGATTTTGCCAATTAAAGTTAGCTTTCTTTTATTCTAGTTGTTGAGTGTTTTTTCTAAAGAACAAACCTTTTCTTCAAAGTTAAGGGTGTTGGCTTGCTTTAAGTCATAGGAATGTGTATACCAAGGGCATAGACTGGTTCTTCGGGCCATCTAAAACCAAACGGCTTCTCTTTGCGCGACCTCCAACATCCTAACCACAACGCTTTGGTTTTGTTTGTGTTAATTTCGAGGCCACTGATCTGCTTGAATTTGTCTAATGTTTTAGTAATTGTGTGACAGGATCAAGATCTCGCACCAAAACGGTGGTATTGTCTGCGTATTGAGTTATCTTAATTTCCTTCTGACCGACTTTGATGCCTTTAATAGTATGGTCTTTCTTAAGTACTCGAGCTAAGAGTTCGACTTCATAGACGAAAAGGAGGCCAGATAGTGGGCAACCCCAGGGGCCCCACTCACATATTTTAATGACGGGGAGGTCCGAAGGATTTTTTTGGGTCTGACATTTTGGCCAAAAGGGATTTTTTTGGGGTCTATGAAAGACGCCGGGATTTTTCTGGGTCGCGAAAACAGCAGAGGGATTTTTATGGGTATTGTATTTTTCATCAGCTCAAGTCAAAAATAACATAAGCGCAACTTATAGTTTTGTTTTTGACCAAAACCGTAATCGGCTCCTGCCAAAACCAAAGTTGAAGTTGGCATGTTTTAGCTTTCCAGCTAGAAGATAAATAATAAAATTTGCTGATGCAGAAACACTGAGGGATTTTTTTGGGTATGCTAAAAAAAGGAGGGATTTTTTTGGGTAGACAAATTCTGAAGTTGGGATTTTTTTGGGTATAAAATATGAACCTGTGTTGTACCCCCCGTCATTAAAATATGTGAGTGGGGCCCCTGGGTGGGCAACCTTGTCGCACACCTCGCTCGAGAAGGAAGAAGTCCGATGCATGACCATTGTGCAGTACACAGCTCGATGCTTGGTTGTAAATAACTTGAAACCAGTTGAGTATGTCAGGGCCAAAATTAAACGTTTGTAAAGTGGCTCTTAAGTAGTTTCATTCTATTGTACGTTAAATGTTCTGCCATTTTGTACTCACAACCAAAGCAACTCAACCTCGTCGCAGGTCTTCTCAGCTAACTTTTCAGTTTTCTAGTAATTATGCTCCACAGTTGACGTCATTTTTCACATAAAAATTATCACAAAATTATTTCAAATTTCGTCGACAGTAGTTGGTTATGATGAATTATGCATGGAATTTTAGCTAATCAGAACTGGAGAAATACTTTGAATGAATGATAATCTTATCATACAACACCTATATTCCTTGTCCCCTAACCTTTTTTTTTTTAAATTTAAACCTAGTTATTATCTGTAGAAGACTGGACTGTCATTCATTTAGTGATTTGGTAAACCTTCTGGCAGCTGGTCATTTAGAAGCTTGTAATTCTTTCCAAAAAAATCGTCTTAAAAACAAACAATGGAACTGTTATTATAGGGCACATGTAAGCTCTTTTGAAAGGGTCAGTGATTCGCGCTTACATGTACCCCATAAAAAATTGCCTGTTATACATAAATTATCTGTATTACTCAAGCTCCTGTTCACAAGGACATTTCTCAACTTGTAAGTTTATAGGCAAAATACTCGTCTAAAAACGTTCTTCGAAAATCGTTGCCCAGTCCTTGAGACAGTCATATTACGGCTGTGAACTTTGGCTAAAACCAAAGTGCACTAAATTATAAATCTTCAACTTACCGGCGAGTAATCGGCAAGAAATGCTTCCAGTTATACTTGGACAAATCGCGGGCAGTTTGTCTCGACGGTTGCTCGACCACAGAATTGATGCTATCCGAGTGATCGTTGGTATCAACAAGAGGCCTAATGCTTACTAACCGAACTGGCTCCACGTCACATTGCACTTCTTCTTTCTCGATGAAGCTGACTGAAGGAAATTCACCGTCTTGAGATCTTTCTTGACTTTCGCCGTCCTGAGATTCATAAGCAATTTTGACATGCGATTCATCAGAATCCATGATGATAGTAAAAACAAGTAATCCGTCAATGAGTAATCTTTTTGTGCATGACAACTTAATGAGACGTGAAGTGCACAACGCAATAATTCATTCCAGGGCCGAGGGTTTGTGCGAGTCTCGTGACTTCGGAATTGCCATAGCTGTGGATTGGACTTGGAAAATCTGGAATCTTCAAGACGATTGTACCATAAACGACACCATAAACTAAACCGAACCCTAACACCCCAACAATGTGCTGGCTGCCGTCTCTATTACATTTTCTTCGCTTGATCGAACTGCTCCCCCAGCTGAAACAGTTTCTCAATAAAGTTCATACGTTGCGGTCGAGAGGAAAAGTGTCAAAATCACCAGCCTGTAGCACAAAACATGCATTTACCGCGCTTTTCAGGCAACTTCCTGAAATATTCTGTGAATGATGATGGTTTTGATAATGATGTCTTATCAAGCATTATCCACAGCTACTTATAATAGAGTCGGTCGGCCGTATTTTTATTTTTCATTTCTTAATTCTCTTTTATAATAGCGGAGCACCATGGGTATGAAAATGTGGTAATCTACCACAGAGAGAAAAATCTGGTAATCACGTGACCTTACGCCCAACCGTCCGTCCGCACCACAGGCATACCAGTGTAAAATAACTCAATCAACAGGTATGGCGACCCAAATGCAAATCGAGGTTATTTTGGCGGGAAATCGCATAGCCACCCGCGTCTTGTAAAGCACTGGCGGCTAAAAATTCAATAAAGACGAGACCGGAAAGCGGAAATTGTTTCTGTATCCGTGTTTTCTAAAGTAATATATAGATTTAGCCAGGGCTAAAAGCGAAGCTCCCGTTAATAAATTCATAATTTAAATCAAACAATAAACTTGTAATCCACAGATCAGGGCACATTCATTTGACTTTTGAGGCAAAGGCTGAGTGATTTTAGAGAAAAATCAGAATTCGACCGTCCAAGAGTGAAACAAATTTTACATCAAGTTACTTGTACACC